AACTACATGGTGAGTCCTAGCCTAGCTTAGGCTACAGCAGGAAACATTGCTTCAAACAACAGCAACAACAAAATATTGGCATACATACACACAGTAAGACATCTGGGTGCTTTGTACATGATACACAAAAATCCATACTATTTTGTACCTGGGTAGCCTTATTGTTCAACTTGAATGTAGGCATTTCCATATATTTCAGTTAAATTTTGTCTTTAAGGTTTTAGCTCAGAATTCAACATTCAAAACAATTTCATTTTCTATTTCTGGCTTTAATCATATTTTCAGTGCTATGTAGTTTTTGATTCATTTTTGGGTTTGATCAGAAAGAATTCTGTGTTTTTGTTATGGAAAAAAACAGAGCACAAATATGACTAACTTTGCATTTGTCTAATTTTATTAAACATTTCATTTGGGGTCTTTCCCATAAAAAGATCATGGAAGATAATAACTAAATGTTTTGCTGAAATCAATTTATGTCATGCTTATAAAATTTCACACTAACTCAAGGTCAAGTAAGCAAAGAAGAACAGCATGGCTTATTTTAGTTTGTCTTGTTTCTAGCGACTACTAATGTATTTAATCATCTATTCTGAAATTGCACTTTTCTGATCTGAAGTTTTCAGTAACCACCCCCCTTTTTTTTTTTATGACCTGTTGTCTTTCATGTTTTACAGTTTCTCAGAACTTACCAGCCACGGACGGGTCTTGGGTTACCTGTAAACAGCTGTGGGATGTAATTTGTGCCTGGAAACATGAGCTTATTTGAAACAGATAGGTGTTTCCTTACTCCTGCCTCACCTAGCTCAAGTTTCAGTCATCTTTCTGTGTTTCAGCTGTACCAATCTAAAGTCCATGTCCTTTCCCAAAGTAGGAAAGAAAACCCAAATGGAGACAAGCCTGTCTTGACTTTGTTCTCTCAAGTCAATTGCTAACTCCGTGCTTATAAATGCCTAGGGAGTCTGCCTTTTCTCCACTTTCCACTATGTTCTCCTCATTAAACCTGTTCTTCCATCTTTTCTTCTTGGAGTTACCAGATAGCTCTAGCTCTTGACAGTTTGTTCTATATAATTTAACAATGAAGCAGATATTATCTTCCATGGTTTGCTGGTCTTTTTGTTATTGTTTTTGTTGGTTTCTGAGATGGTTTTCACCAGTTACCATACTGATTTCTACCTCACAGGCTCAAGAGAACTCCCTCCCCAGCTTTCTGAGGTCTGGGACTATATGAATCCCTTTTGTTTCATCTCTAAAAAGTTGGATTCATTTATTATGTAGAGACAGGGTCTCTCTCTACAAACTCAGCTGACCTTGAACTTATGATCCTCCTGCTTCAGCTCTGCTTTTCTAATACCAGACACTACCCAGCTTGGTAGCACAAGCCTTTAACACTATCCTAGCCCTTGGGTGGTAGAAGAAGAAGGATCAGGAATTGAAGTCCAGATTTGGTTACATAGGGTGTTTGAGGCCAGCCTGAGGTACAGGAGACCCTGGCTCAAAAAAAAAATCAAAACAAATCAACAAACAACCAAAACCCAGACACTTGGAAAATACTTGTTGGGGGGCCAAGTTTTAAACATCGCTTTGACTTCATAGTCTTCAAACATCAGTCTCTTTGACAACTTTTTTTCTTTTTTTTTCCCCCCTCCTGCTTAGGGAAGCAAAAATGAGGAATCATTTACTTTTTTCTTGTGAAATGGGCACAATTGTGACAACAGTAACAGTATTAAAAGTAAGAAAGATCAAACTGAAATTACCATCAACTCACTCCTTTGGCTGCCTCTCTGGCAACCATCCACAAGCATTCATCTCTTCTTGAGCCATTTAACAGTCATTTCAGCCACAGTTGGTATGACAGTCAAGAACTCTGCTGTTACAGCTGCTTCCTTCTTGTTCTTTGATAGCCTAGTCTGAGTTTCTTTGTCATGCCTATGCTACACCAAGGTTATCAATTTGAAACTCTTTCAAAGTATACATACTTCAGAAACCACACTACTTCTCTTGGCACCTTTCTTAACTTCCAGAAGTGGCAAACAACAGCAACAACAATAATAATAAATGTTTAGTAAGATTTAAAGATGGCACATAGTGTTTCCAACATACCGATAATCATGTTCAATACTGTAAGAACAGTATTAGACAAAAAGTTGCTGTAATGACGATTTAATTACTGAATATTGCTGTGGGGAGACACCATGAACAAGGCAATTTATAAAAGGAAGCATTTAATTGGGGACTTGCTTACAGTTTCAGAGGGTGATGACCATCATGGCAGGAAGCATGGCGGCAGACAGGATGACACCAGGGCAGTAACTGAGAGCTCACATCTGATCAAACTGCAGGGAGGGAGGGAGGGAGAGAGAGAGAGAGAGAGAGAGAGAGAGAGAGAGAGAGAGAGAGAGAGAGAGAGAGACTGAGGCTACTCTGAGCTCTCAGTGTCATAACTCTTCTGAGAAGGCCACACCTCCTAAACCTTCCCAAAATAGTTCCACCAACTGGGAACTAAACATTCAGATACACAATCTTATGGGTGCCATTTTCATCCAAACCACTAAAAATGATTTAGTAATCTTGTCATTAATTTTAGAAAGATATTCTAGAAAATCCATTTAAATAAGTCTTTAGTGTCTAGCAAGCAAGAAAAGGGACACACATAGCCATTGTTCATTGGGTTGTACATTAGTATTCAGGTAGCAAGATTTATTCTCTTTCTCCACATTAAATGTTGTTAAAAATTGTGACCTACTGTAATTTTCCTGGCTAGGAAGCTTCTCAAAGAGCAAGCTGGAACGTCTATGATTTGTGAACTCCCATGTGGTTCATTTGTCTATAAGGTCTATTAATGAGATGTGAGGATTTCAGTTGCCACCATGACAACCAAGACGTGAGTATTGCTTCTTTCCATTTCCCAGCTACATAAATGTAGAAAGGAGCATCTTTCTCTCCAGCCGCTGTTTTAATACGAACATCTGGTAACCATGGAAATTGAGGTGATTGTGTGACCAACATGGTTACAAGATGCAGCCTGATAAAGAGCTTGCTGAGGCAGTAAAATATGTCATAAACCACACATTAATTTGTAGCATTCTTTTTATTTAAAAAAAAACCTTGCTTGTGTTCTGTTGTTCTCACAAGCCTATAATTTTGCTGTTCATCTTAAAAGGTGAGTGTGTGTGTGTGTGTGTGTGTGTGCCTGTGTGTCTCTGTGTATATGTGTGTGTGTTTGTGTGTGTATGTGTATCTGTTTCTGTGTGTATGTGTTTGTGTATGTGTGCATATATATGTGTCTGTATGTGTATGTGTTTGTGTGTGTGTATGTATATGTTTGTATGTGTGTGTGCCTGTGTGTCTCTGTGTGTGTTTGTGTGTGGCTGGGGATTAAACCCAGGACCTTGTGCATGCTAGGCATTCTGTCACTGAACTACAAGTCCAGCCCTATAACAGAATTTTATTTTTTAAGATTTATTTATTTATTATGTCTGTATCTCTGCAGGCCAGAAGAAGGCACCAGATCTCATTACAGATGGTTGTGAGCCACCATGTGGTTGCTGGGAATTGAACTCAGGACCTTTGGAAGAGCAATCAGTGCTCTTAACCTCTGAGCCACCTCTCCAGCCCCCTATAATAGAATTTTAATGTTTTCTGTTTGTATGTGTAAGATTTTGTTGGGTGAGTAGAGATATTTTGTGAAGATAAAATATTTACATACTCTTTCTTGTATGTGTTTTCTCCCTTCAGTAGTACTGTTAGCAACATTTACCATATACTATAGATCCACAAGACCTATACATTTAAATTGGTGTGAGAAAAAGCTCTTAATGTCAGACTATTTATCATGTAGCTGGAGAGATTAGCACATAACAAACTGAAATGGATCATATGACGCAGTGTGTGATGATGAGAGGAAAGAGATCATTTTCTCAGGATGATGGGAATTGAAGTGCAAGTACAGATATGTCAGAGAACACATACATGCAGGCACAACATCCATATACATAAAAAAATACAGCAGAACAAATTCTTCAGATTTGGTTTAAGTTTGGGAAGTACACACACATACACAAAAGAAAGAAATGTACGTATGAATGATGTACACATTTACAGATTTTAAAAAGTCTTTGAAAGTAACTGTGCAACACAGCAACAGTGACTGCATGCACAAGACCCATTCAAGATTGAGCCAGCATGGTGTGTGTGTGTGTGTGTGTGTGTGTGTGTGTGTGTGTGTGTGTGTGTGTGTTATGAAGTCCCACCCCTATCTGAGGAGCTAATGGCAGTTGGTGGGCTCTGGATAAGAAAGCTGGTTTTCGTCAGGGATGTATAATTTTGGTATTGTGAATTTTACATTGAAATACCTTGACCACTGCTTAGGTCACTTTGGGTAAACAAAACTCCAAACCTCAGATTGCATATTAAGTATGAATTAAGTGTGGTATATAATCTCTGCCAGAAGTCCTATATTTGGACTTTGGAATAATTCAACTTTTATCACACTTGCAGATTTTTACGAGGGTATTTGAAGGAACCCAAAGCATCCTCAATTCCAGGATGTGCAGGGTCCCCGGTCTGAGGCTGGGGAGTGGGGCGGCAATAGTTACAGAAATGAGGATGCTGCAGTAGGATGAAGGAGCTGCAGCGAGACTTTCACAAACCCTTTAAATGCAAGGAAACAGAGGCAGATGGGAGGGCAGAGGACCAAGGTCGTCCTCCAGGAGGAGGCAGGAGTGGCCTCAAGGCTCTCCGACCTCTATAGAGAGTGCGGCAAGCTCGGCAGGAGGTTCGAGACACCTGAGCTTGAGTCAGCAGGACTGGCTGCAGAGTCAACGCCTCAGAGCCCCGCCCACTCGTAGCCCCGCCCCCAAGCGCGCTCCCGTCTTGAGCCCCAGGAGCACGCGCATTACCCTCGCGCGGTGTTCAGGTGCGTTCCGAGGCGGCCGGGGGGGGCGTGGCTCCGGCGGCGCGCGCGGCTCTCGGTGCGTAGCCGGGCGGCGGGCGCGCGCGCGCGCGCTCTCGCTCTCGCTCTCGTTCGGTCTCGCGGCCCCGCGTCTCTTCAGAGAATTTCGGAGCTCCGTCACTCTGGCGGTCCCCGCGGAGGAGGAGGGCTCGGCGGCGTGGTGGGCCTGACGGCGCTGCGGCTGCGACGCCGGGGCGAGGAGACGCCGAGGCCCCAGGCGCTCGAGGCCTGCGGTCCGGCCAGTCGCGTCTGCAGACGGAGGTGACGAGGTGGCGGGGACGGCCGAGCAGCCGGGGGCCCAGGAGAGGGTGTGGCGGGCCGCCGGGGGCCGAGGATGCTGGTCCGCCTGGGATGCTGGCGGGCGGGTGGCGGGCGCTGACCGGGACCTCCAGCCATCGGGTGGGCGACGTGGAGCGCTTCCACCCTCAGAGCTTCCAGAGAGGCAGAAGGAAAAACAAACAAAAACCCCAAACCAAACCGGAGTCTTCCCCCCCTACCCCCCGCCCCCGAGGGCTAAGGAGCATCGCCCCTCTTAGGGGACAGATTCCCTGGCGGGTCTGTGTGGCTAGAGGACTTTGGGCTGAGAGGAAAATCCGCAGAGCTCGTGACATGGTTTTGGGGACAGTAAATATCTGAATTCCCCAAACATAGCGAAGATTCCCGAGCGCGGAAACGTTTCAGGGAGGAAGAAAAAGCGAGGCAGATGGGGGGCAGCCGCCTGGAGGCGATCGGAGTTGAGGGTTTTGCCCGAACTCTCTTAGGCTTGACTTTACGTTTTAAAAGGATCGAGTCCGGGGACAAAAAAAAAAAAAAAAAAAGGAAGGCAGACACTTCTACTGTCTGCCGAGGACATTCTAGGGCCCAAGACGAGGTTGCTTGCATCCTGGCACTGAGCCAGGGTCAGTATTACTTCATCTTGACAGCAGCTCTGAGGTTGGAGATGGTACTCTAGTTGAGTAGATGTGGGAAATGGCTCTTAGAGAGGTTAAATAACTTTATTAAGGTCCCAGCTGGGGAAAAAAAAATGAAGCGCTGAGATTCTACCGCAGGCATGCCAGACTCCTTAATTCCAGTGCTCTGCCCAATGTTTTTTATGTTTGTCCAGAGAGCATTTTTATGTATCTTCAGAGAAGACTTAATAGATGGGGACATTATTAAAGCACTTTGTGGGCATTTACCCAGAAATCATACTTAGGAGACAATGGTCTTTGAATGTGGGTCGTTTAATAGGATGTATTCTTGAAAATGCAAAACTTCAAATTAGACATATATTATAGTTTATAGTGAATATAATTTTTAATGTCTGCCATTGAGCTTAATTGAAAAAGTAATTATATAAAAGCATTTCATAATATAAATTGTAATCTTTATTAGTTTGTGAATTGAATTGGAAATAGTTTAAAGTGCAAACTTTAAACTTTTATACAGAATTAATATTGTATATAAGAAAAGCTATTAGCTAACTTGCCATATGGGTACCATTGCCTTGTTTTCTCCAGCAAGACCTAAAATTTAGGTTAAACTTTATTCACATTAATATTTTGTTTTATTATGTCACCACTGTCATAAATTTTTAAAGATCGATGAAGAAAGCATTTATGATTGATCTTCTATTAAATTTTGTCCACTGAGAAGCCAATAATATAGTTGGGTAGGATTTTCTTTCAGCTCATTGTTGGATAGGTTAATAGCTCTTTTCAAAAAAATTAAATCTTACCTTAAAAGTAAAAGCTAAAGCCAGAGTGCATTTAAGCTTTTGTGGTTTAGAGTTCTAGGGAAAATGGAGTCTTTACTTTAGCTTGTAATGGCATATTGTTTAAAATGTACATGATTACAGGCACAGATGTAGGTAAGTGGATAGACTAGTGGAGAAATGTCTTTTGACTGCTTCTGTGTTCTCACTAAAGTAGGAATCCAGATAACTCTTGGAAAATGATGCTAGAGATAGAAATGTAGGCGGTTTTGAGGATGGGGAAAGTGAATGGGCTTGTAAAGTGTCCCTTAAGGTGCCAAAGGGGTTTAGAGGTGCTTCTTGGCTGTGCACAAAATTAGTGTTTAGTTTTTGCATGGAAGGTATTTCACAGTCTCTTTTCAGTTTTTGTCTTTATATTGTTTTCTAGGGCATGCACCCATATTCTGTCCCAATTCAGTCTGTATTCTGCCCCCCACCCTCTGCTCTTTATTTTACACAAGTCAAGGCTTTTGGAAATCTAGCTTTCCCATAGTTTTCTCTCTGCTTAGAAATTCCGTTTGGCCCTTTCCCAAACTCTTTCCCTCAACTGGGATTAGAACATTGCATTCAGTTTTACTTACCTGAAGTTAGTGATAGCAATATACTTTTTTTTGTCTGTTTTGTAGAGAAATTCTTCAGAAAAGTGACCCACTTTTTTCACTTGCTTCTGTAACCGGTAGCTGATAAAAGGAATTAGTCAGCTTTTTTTGATAAATAGTAAGGGAGTTAAATCTTTTAGGTTTTGAAGACTGAGTAGAAACTGTCTCAGCTTAACTCTGTCCTCATTGCAAAAAGCAGTCAAAGACAGCACATATATGAATCAGCATGGGTTGGGTCTCACTTCTATTTGCTTTTCTGACACTTCAATAGGCCCTGAAGTCTGAATTTCATATTTTGACCCATCACAAGTTATCAATATTTAATTTTTCCTCCAACCACTAAAAAAATGTGGATACATGCTAGGCAGGTGGATCTTTGGGAGTTAATGGCCATCCAGGGCTACCCAGTGAAATCTGGTCTCATCCTACCACTCTCCAAAAACCCCTCACACATTGTTAACTCTTGTTCAGAGCAAGGTGGGGGTTGGGTTTAGACACCACTACCTCTTCCATCTTTGTTTGCAGACCCTAAATCTGTAAGGACTCTCAGGACAGGGTTTGATAAAGGAATTTGTATTAAGGTAATATTGGTATTACCATTGGTGGTGTCAGAGAAGCAAATAGAAGTGAGGCTTTTTTTATTTTTTCATTAAGGATCTCATGGTCAGGCTCAAGGTTAAGACAAAAAATGGTAATGCAGTATGTTAACTAATTACAGTTATGTGTACTTAGTGAAAAGGGAAAATAAAACAGTAGTAATTAGCTTTGCTTGAGTTGGCCAGACATGACCTCAGATGAAGTACAGAACATATTTTAAGTTGAGAGCCTTTCCAAGAGTCTTTCAAATATGCAAAGAGAGTTACTGACCACATCTTATCAGTAAATAGTTCTGAATGTAAAGATTGCTGTTTCTTTATAAGATATAATCTTACTTCATACATCATAGAAGTAAATGTGGATGAAAAATGGGCTCTACATAATAAATTTTAATTTCAAGGTGATTTTGCTTCTTACAAAATGGTATTATTTATTCCAAAATATTTGATGTATTACTAGCCAAAATGCTTGGTAGAGGTAATGGTAATATTAGATAAATTGGAGTTCTTTTTTTTTTTTAAATGAAGAGTCTCTTAAGAAAAGCACATTTTAAACAGGCAATTAATAAAATAGTATAATTCTCTTACATTTAAAAAATTTCTGTAACTTTCAAATTTTTCATTTAATAAACAATCTCAATTCAGTGAAATGGCATAGTGGGTGAATGCACTTTCTGCCAAGCCTAAAAATCTTGAGTTCAGTCCCCTAAACCAACATGTAACAAGTTTTTCTCTGTCCTACTAGCCAGCAATAATGACAAGGACACTTCGTGTTAATTCTGAAAGCTCAGCCTATAGCTTAGGCTTGTTCCTAACTAGCTCTTATAACTTAAATTAACCCATTTATATTAATCTACGTTCTGTCATTACCTCTCTTTCATCTTGTACCTCCTGTTTCCTCTCCATTTCGCCTGGTGTCTCCTGTGCATCTAGATTCTCTCCTTTTCCTTTCTCTCCCTGGATATCCCACCTGTACCTCCTGCCCAGCTCTTGGCCATTGAGCTTTTTATTACACCAATCACCGCTAATACATCTTTACACAATGTACAAATACCCTACAACACCCACATGGTGGAAGGAAATAACCAACTCCCAAAATACACACACATACACCCACAGTAAATAAGTAAAGTTTCCTAATTTTTTTTTTTTTTTTTTTTTTTTTTTTGGTTTTTTTCGAGACAGGGTTTCTCTGTGTAGCTTTGCGCCTTTCCTGGAACTCGCTTTGGAGACCAGGCTGGCCTCGAACTCACAGAGATCCGCCTGGCTCTGCCTCCCGAGTGCTGGGATTAAAGGCGTGCGCCACCACCGCCCGGCTAAGTTTCCTAATTTTTAACTGACTTTCTGGTATTTGGCTTGTGTAATGCTTTATTTTTAAGTCGATCACTTATATATTAGGAAAGGAAGATTACTTCAGTAGACTTTCTGATTTTCTTTTTACAGTTGTCACTAGTGTCTAGTCAAGTTTTATTACTTGGATGGAAAGAAGCTCAAAAATATTGAAATGTAATATTTTTTACACAATTAGATCTGCTTTTCAATAAAACGTCCATGATCAGTCATCATACTGATTTGTCAGTATTCATATGTAACAGATTTTATACTTCATTGTTTTCTCCTGTTTGTTCTCTATCATCATCCATGCTGCTGGATTCTCATGATGCGGCCTTACTTCTGGTTTGCCAGTTTGTCTTTAGAAGTTATTGACACTGTAGAAGTTCTATTTCTGCTCATTTCAGTTCCATTGCTTTTTCTTGAATCACTCTGTTGTTATTCCATGAATATGGTATTCTTTATTATTATTTGTGACTGTTAGTTCTACTACTTTAATATACATTAGTGATCAACATTTATAATTAATTACTTGCCTTGTACCAGAATTTGTTTTACATGTACCAATTTGTTTACTTATTTTAAGAACCCCAAAGAAGTATTATAATTATTTTACAAAAGACAAAGAGACAAAAAAGTTAAATAACGTACCTAAGATCTCATAACTGTGAAATGACAGAGGCAGGATAGTTGGCTTGATTAGAGAGGTTACATTCTTAAAACCACTATACTATACCACTTAAAGTATTAGTAATTGTTATATTTGTTGATTTTGGTGCCTCTCTTGTGTTGGTTAAGATGCTTTTGGTTTTAAGAAATAATTATGGGAAGATAATAGAGCATCTGCCTCAAGGAAGAAAAAATCAAGTTTGAGCATAATAAGAATTTCCCATTAGGTGAAAACTTAACAGCAGAAAGTTAAATTTTCATAAATGTTGTCTTTAAGGTAAATTCAGTTCCCATAACTTTTGGAAGGCAGAGGCAGGTGGATCTCTGAGTTTGTGACCAGAGTCCAGGACAGCCAAAGCTACACAAAGAAACTCTGTCTCAAAACAAACAAACAAACAAACAAACAAACAAAAAACAACAAAACCCCCAAAACAAACAAGCAAACAAAAATCTGTACTGCTAGAAGAAAATGTAATGAATGCAACTCAAGGGGTATTTGTAGTGGAGGAAATGGAAATGGTGTTTTTTGTTGGGGTCATTGTTGGGAAGTAAGACTTAGGGTTTTTATTTTGTTTATTTCTTATTATTTTTAAAAGACATGCATGGTCTCTTTATATAGCCCTGGCTGACCTGGAACTCACTGTGTGTGTTTACCAGACCAGCCTCCATCCCATAGAGATCCACCTGCCTCTGCTGAGATTAAAGACATAATGCTCTACCATACCCAGCTTGGATTTAATTTTGTTTTAAAAAGTTCTCACAAGATGTGAAGTGGATAATTAGATTTGTGAACTTCAGACAAGAGACTCAAATTTGAATTCAGGTGACAGTTCGAAGTAAAGATATGAGTCCAGCTATTCTGTGGAGGATTTGGTATATAAAAATGGAATGTTAAACATTCAGTTTGATAATTAATAATTTAGTGATACTTTCTAAGTTATTTTTGTCAGAAAAGTTGGGAATATTCACGTTGAGTTGGTTGATGTTTCTGTTTGTTTTGTAGCAAATTACCTTTGATTTGCTTTTTCTTCTTTTCTTTGGCCTAGATGTGATTATCAATGTACTCTTGATTGCTTTTGTTGTGCTTTTGTAATTTCTTTTAATCATTTTACAAAGTATTATTATTTTTCCTGTGTAAGTAATTATATATCAGTGACAAAGTGGAAAAACAAAAGTAAAAGTTGTAATTTTATTGTTAATTAAAAGTTGTAGTCTAATCATTTTTCTATGCACATAAAGAGGATGCTCATTTAAGTTAACTTTCAATAATAAACATTTATTCAGGAGAAGACATACCGCTTCTAAAAAGTTATTTGCTTTTTTGTCTGAAGTGGAGATGGTCAGAACTTGCAACAGATTGTCCTTGCTTTGGAGAGGACTCATATCAGTGGCCTTCATTAGGTATATTTCTATAAAACAAGGCAGCACCAATGGCTTTGGAAGGTTTAGCAAGACCTTGGTTTGTTTGTTTGTACTTTGGGTTTTTTTTAATCATTCACAATTTCAAAAATATATGTGACATACTTTAATCATATTCTGCCCATTATCTTCTCTTAGTTCCTTGCCCTTCCATTAAAAAACTTCCCAACAAGACCCCCTGTTAGTTTTTTTAAACGGAAACAAACAACTTTTATTTTTGTGGCCCAGTGCACATAATTAGAGTTGCTTGCAGGTGCATGGGTGGGTGGATGGGGCTTATTTACTTTAGTAAGGAAAACTTACCAATGGCACACCACTGAAGAATGTGACACACCCAAACAACTGTTTATGGCTTCTCAGGGAGGTGTGTATTGTTTCCCCCTGCCCCTCAAAGCTCATAGCTGCACCAGTCATTATGGGGATAAACATAGTTATTTAGAGGACAGTTTAAGATACACATCGTATCCATGTAGCAAAACAACAGTAGTGGTTTTCCCACCGGGGCCCATGATTTCCCTAGGCTTTTGATGGGTTTACAGATCAGGTGTAAATTCCCTCCTGTGGCATGGATTTCAGATCCATTAGAAAGTGAGTGGTTACTTCTGGAACAGACTTGCCACTCTGTACCAGTTGTTAGTGTTGTATGTAGGGTTTGCAGTTAGTGATTTTATTGACAGTTTCACCCTAGCACTGTGTGTGCTAGCCACCAGGGAGGGACTTCCACTCTAGTTTCAAATTTATTTCTCTGTCTCCCAGATCACCAGCTACTTAGAAGTTTTTGTCAGATAATTCCAAAATTTGTGTATAGGAACTTACAGTCCTTCAAATCTTAGCCAGAACAACTCCTATCTTTCAGCAAACACTGTTTGCTGTTCTGTGTGCCAGACTGACACTATATAGAGCATTCCTTCCCATGGCCTGAGAGTTTTCTGAGACCAGCAAAATCTACAGTAAGAGCAAGGATAGAGAACATGCAAACATGTAACTTTCTCAGAGCCTAGTTTTATCTTTGTCTTCTGTTACCTAGGCTTTAATTCCTGCTCCAATTTTGCCACTGCAGCATTGATTCTTAGTCCAGGTTTTAAATTATTTGCTTATTTACTTGAAATCAGTTCTGCTGTACAATTATAGCTGTGTAAAATAAGAACTTCTTAGGTGGGAATGGTGACTGTGGTGCACCAAGAATCATCTAACACTCCGTAAATAACCTTTTACACACTTTTTTTGTTTGTTTGTTTTTTGCTTAGTAAACTGGACAGATTTGACTCTTTGGTTTATCAGTAGCATCACAGTTTGAAGACAGATGCTGCTTTTGTGGCTTTTGGTGAGAGTCATGCAATACTGTCATTTTGATAGTGGGATATATTGGCCATTTGCCAAGTAATTTGCGGTTGTTTGAGACATTGGGCATTTTATTAATTTTGTGCAGTTGTTGATACTTTCTGTTAGTACATTGTGAAGGTTTTTAGGTTTTGGCTGTAAATTTCTTCCCACATTCTCTGAACTATTTGCATCTTCAGTTGAGTTTTCAAAAGGTTTGTGGTTTGGATCTTTCATGTGCATGCTGCCTGGTGACCAGTCTGGATCAGGCTAGTGGTGTCTGCTGGTTTGCTTTCTCTAGTCTTTATTAACATTCATAGGAGAGACCCATATATTCCTAGTTTGGGAATTAATTTAAGAGGCAATAAAAAACTTTATTTTTTGCATGTGCATTTCAGAGCTCCCTTTTTTATTTGATCTCCCTATTTTCTCTTTCTGACTGCTCCTTTGGTCCTCTAGGGAGAAAGTTTTACTGTGCCACTTAACTTCTGCAGCAATAACCACTATTCAGGACCCAGGGGTAGGAGAGTAATGTACAAAGAACAGTGGGGAAGAAAAAACTAGGAATTGGCCATTGGAATTTTCTTGGAGAGGAAGTTTCTCTTCCTCAGAGTTTTGCGACATTAGGCTTTCATTACTGTAGTCTTGAACTGCCATGAAGGGGATTTTTCAGAATAGGGACACAGAAAAGAACGGGAATGAATAAAAACAAATTTGACATTTTCACATCTCCTTGAGTATTAAGACTAACTTTTCCTCCAGTCAGAATTATAAGTTAACTTCTGAAGTCCTTCTGTCTTGGTGCTCAGTTTTCATGTGCTCAGTTTGAGTGATACCAAAGGAGAAAAAAGGGTAAGCTCACTGCTAGTTTGGGTCTCCCAAAACTAGACATTTTGATGTTTCCCTGTTTCATATGTTGTCATATACTTTGTAGAGCTGTCAGATTGTTCTTTCATGCGTTCTGTACATGTAGGAGAGATAGCTTGAAGTATGCTTAACTTCATTTTACATAGGAATGAAAAAAAATCACATACGCTTTACTGTGTAGTTCAAGCTTTGTTTGTTTCTCCTTTTAATAAGCTGACCCAGAGAACATGGCTACTGCAATTAGGGATGTGGGAGTTTGGAGACAGACTAGAACACTTCTACTGAAAAATTACCTAATTAAATGCAGGACTAAAAAAAGTAGTGTTCAGGTAAGTTAAAAATACTCATTATTTTGTCGTCTTATGGTTTGTTTTGCTTTGATGTGTTCCATTTTAGGAGAATTTTTCGGAATACATTTTTATTATAATTTTATTTCCTTCAGTTTGCTTATAAAATAAAAGCATATTGTAAGCAAGAAAAAAAAGAATGAACTAATGCTCCTAAATGTATCAGTGATTACTCAATTCAGTTAACTTCTAACATCATCATGTGACTTTTGAATTTTAGGCATGTATTTTCTCCCCATTGATGAAGTAATATTCTACAGATAACTTTTTGAAACAATATTACACAATTTTATACCCCACATTTTCCCAATTTATGGTTTATGAATTAAGTTGCCAAAGAATACTAAAACTATGTCACAATAGTTGTACCCTAGCATGGTGTGCTTTTGGTAAAAGAATGAAGTCTAGCTAAGCAGTTGGCAATAATTTCAGGTATGGGCTATCTTCTGAAACTAGCAGAACAAGGAACAAGATAAAGTAATAGCTCATGCCTAGTAAAGCAGACCATAAACTAATTTAAGTGTAATTTTAGTAGTATTTTAGGTATTGTTAATAAGGTACTATTTTTAATTCCAAACCAGTGAGTTTTTCATTTACTTATTTACCTATTTTTCTTTTTCTAAAGTTCCTTTCAGTTTAATGATATCTTTGTAAGAATTTGTTCACAAGTTACTTTGGAATTTTATGAGTAAATATAAAGTGGGTATTAAATCAGTACTCTTAAGACATTTGAACATTATGTCACTTTATTATATAATTTGAATATTAAAACATTTCATTAAAACTGAATGCATATTGAAAATGATCAACTATGTTTTGGGGTTTGGTGGGATATTCAACATAGTAATACTTTTAGGATAGGATTGCTTTTACTTTCTCTGTATATGAGAGGACAATAATTTCTTTAATAGTACCTGTGTTATTTGCATAGAAATCTTGATTTTGCCACCATCCTTATACTTTGTAATAACTTTGTTTCTTTTATTGTAGGAAATTCTTTTTCCTCTATTTTTTTTATTCTGGCTAATATTAATTAGCATGATGCATCCAAATAAGAAATATGAAGAAGTATCTGATATAGAACTTAACCCCATGGACAAGTCTAGCCTTTCTAACCTTATTCTTGGATATACTCCTGTGAATAATATTACAAGCAGCATCATGCAGAGCGTATCTACTGATCATCTCCCTGATGGTATTGAAGTCTTTTCTAAAAAAGATTTATTTTTATTTTTGCATATGTTGTATGCCTTTGTGTGAGTGTATGTACACATGTGCAGGTGCCCATGGAAGCCAGAAGAGCCCTTAAGATTCCTTGGAACTAGAGTTACAGCAATTCAATTTATTAGCTAGGTGTCATGTATGAGAATATTAACATTTGGAGAGTTAAGTCACTAATGTGAACTTACATAGCTAATGGATAATGAAGCTAAGTACCAGTCTTGTGTTCCTTTACCACAAATTCTGGAGCTTCTGTAGTGAAATTAACTTACTGTAAACAACACGAGAAAATATCTTTAAAGATTGTCTAACTTATGTGATAGAATGATGGCAGTGTTTTCTCCATTTAGCTTCTGAAGAGGAATAAGCAATATTAGGTATAAATGATGATTTTATTCAGAGAAGACTTCGCAGAGTTTTAGCATAATTGCTAACATGCATGTAGGGATGCTCAGCTGTGGATCCATGGGCTGCATGTAGTTGAAGTGGAGGATAGGTATGGATATGGCTCCACACAAAATACTTAAAACATTAGATTTGTTTTTTTTTGTGGGGGAGGGGCGTAACTTGATTGTGTGCTTTTTGAGCATGAACATTGTGGATGATTATGTCGTACACAGTATCAAACAGCTTGCCATGCCTGGAAAAATTTTCTCTATAAAAATAAATATTTAAAAGTAAGACTTCAATTACTAGGAGTTATTTTACTTTGAAACAAGTAATTGAACTACATTATTATTTTTTAATTTCATTTTTGTCTGAAATCTTATAGACTTTAAAAAGTATAGCTAGCATATTCAAGGACCTAGGTTTTTTTCAGTACCAAAACCAAGACATTTAAAAGTGGATATGATATAAAAACTACTCAGCATTAGAATATAGAATTAGAATGTATAACAACACATTGAAATTATCAAATATATTTTGAAGAAATATTCTAAATATTGTTTCATATTATACTGTATCATAGACATAAATTATGTATTATAATGACATAATTTCTGCAATCAGGTCACAACTTACTATCTGTAAAATATTATTGTTGATCATTTTATGTCATTGTTTTCTTTGCAGTTACCTTCATTTTCTAAGAAATTAGTGACTAAGACAAAAGTACTGATAAAATATACCATTCATCAAATATAATTATAAAATGATTCTACTGTATTTCAGTAAATGGTTGCAAGTTCTGAGTTACATTGTTCTAATATTTTATAGTTATAATTACTGAAGAATATGCAAATGAGAAAGAAATGCTAGCATCCAGTCTTTCTAAGTCAAGCAACTTTGTAGGTGTGGTTTTCAAAGACATCATGTCCTATGAACTTCGTTTTTTTCCTGATATGATTCCAGTGTCTTCTATTTATATGGATTCAAGAGGTAAGTGACTTTATATATAATCATTGAACTCAGTGTTAAGTGCATTTCTTTATAATCAAAATAAGAGTGTGTCCAGTATTGTCATTTTCAACTGTACTTACTTGTTCAGGTAGGAAAACTATCATGAGCAGCATAAAAAAATTTAGGTATGAGGTCAGACATTGTAGCACTCGCCTTACTCCCAGGCAGCTTTCTGTATATGCAAGGTCAGCCTGATCTACATAGTTCCAGGGCATCTGGGGTACATGATGAGACCTATACCCAGAAATAAAAATTGTATATGTACATTTTTCCAAATATCTATCTACACTAAATATATACTATATAAAATAACTATAACATTCATTTTAATTTTAATACACTTACATAAATATCATTTACATTAAAAAATTGTATCTTTCATTTTATGGGTTTCTAAATGTATAATTTTTCCTACATGTAATCATTTCCACTGTGGTATGATATAAATGTTCAAAGTCTCAAGGTCTCCTACCAATGAAATTTCTTAAGTTTACATTTGAAACATGGAGAACTGCCTTCAGTTGTTAAACCCATGAAAAGATAATATCAACTCTGTTTATTATACAATATTAAAGTCACTGTATTAAGTACAGAAAGTTTTTCCTTTATTCCAAAAACTTGTTAGGAAAATTCTTATTTCGCTTTTTATGAACTTCGACCTACTCATGTGTCAGAGATAAATGTGCATTATAGAATGATTTACCTTAAAACATTAAAGTGACTTACTTGTTTTATTTTGTATTTATGAGTATTTTGCCTGTTCATATGTATGTGCATCATGTGCATGTCTAGTGATCACAGAGGTGAGGAGAGGGTTTTGGATCCCTTGGAACAGGATTTTCATGTGGTTGTGAGTTATCCACTGGGAATTAAACCTGGGTCCTCAGCCCTCCCTCCCTCCCTCCCTCGCTCCCTCCCTCCCTCTCTCTCTCCCTCTGTATTATTTACTTATTTGTTACTTAAAACAATTTTAAATTTAAATATATTTTGGTCATATTCTTCACCTCTCAGACCAAGTTTGTCCAGATCCTTTCCTCTCCCTACCCACCCAACTTAGTTATTTCTCAAAAAACCAAAAACCTGATACAACTACAAAATGTTTAAAATTTAGAAAACAAAATATATTTGCCAAAAGGGAAAAGAAAACAAAACACCAAAACTGTTACTAACTAAAAACATACACACAAAAGACCTATGGAGTGCATTATTTGCTGGTCAGCTACTCCTGAACATGAGATTTGCCCTGGAGTAGTTGATACACCCAGTGTCATTCTGTTGGAGAAAACTGGTTTTTCTGTCTCTTAGCAGGTATAAATGACAGTTCCATTGTTAACCTATACCCTAGTGGCAAAGTTTATATTCATTCATTCATTTCATTCATTCCATTTTTTTTTAGAAATGTAACAAAATAAAATATAAGATAAAACAGAAACAATCACATCGAAGTCAGACAAGACAGATCTACAGAAGGAAAAGAGCCCAAGAGAGGGCACAGTAATCAGAGACCCACTCATTTTTACATTCAGGAATCCCATAAAAAACATTAAACTGGAAACCATAATGTAAGTGCAGAGGACCTGGTGCAGACACATGCAGGCCCTATGTATGCTCCTTCAGTTTCAGTGAGTTTATATGAGTTTTGCTCATGTTGTTTTAGAGGGCCTTGTTTTTATTGGTGTCCTCCATCTCCTCTGGCTCTTAGATTCTTTTTTCCTCATCTTCCCTGGGGTTCCCTGAGCTTCGAGATTTGATGGAGACATCCCAGTTAGGGCTGGCATTCCAAAGTCTCTCACTCTCTGTGTAATGTCTGGATTGGGTCTCTATATTCATTCCCATCTGCTGCAGGAGGAAGCTTCTCTGGTGATGATTGAACAAAGCACAGATCTATGAGTATAGTAGAATATCAGTAGTAGTCATTTTATCACTACATTTTTTTCTTTTTTCTTTTTAGACTTGGATTATTTGGGTTTGCCCTAGGTCCCTAGGCTAACTAGTCTCTGGTTCTTAGTGTTGGTTATGGGTTTCGTCTCATGGAGTTTGCTTTAAGTCAGATCAGGAATTGGTTGATAACTCTCACAAACTTTGTGCCACCATTGCCCTGGCATATCTTGTAGGTAGTACACCATAAAGGTTTGTGGCTGGCTTGGTGTTTCTGTTTCTCTTTTGATAGCATATAGAGTACCTTCCTGTAACAAATACCCTGTAGCATAGAGTGAATGCTCTATGTAGGCACCAGTTTGACGTCTCCATGTTCAGTGAGTTGTGTAGGTGTTGTCTTCAGCAGTGGGGCCTTGATGTCAGTTTGTAGAGAGAAACCTGTAGTGTTGGCAACAGCCTGGGTTGTTTGGGGATTCCTGGGTTGTTTCTTTGGCTAACAGCTCAACTAGTTATAACTCACCTGGTACTGGAAGCTTCATTTGGTGACAAGAGATGGCCAGTTAGGTCTCTGTCTATCCTATTATTTGGCATTTTCATTTAGATCATCTTCATATATGTATATATTTTAGGAGGATTCTACTGTATTAGGTTTCCATACTAACCTCCAAATGCCCCTTAATTTTGTCTGTTTCTACTCATATTCCCTCTCTCATCCCTCCCCTTTCCATTCATACTTGATCTTCCAATCGAGAACCCCCCCATCAATATGTTCATAAAAATAATTCTATTTCTCTTTCCTAATGAGATATATCTGCTATTTCTAGTCTCTTACTCTATACCTACCCTTTGTGGTTCTATGGATTGTAGCTTGGTTATTATTGACTTCACAGCTAATGTTCACATATAAGTGAATACATTCTGCATTTGTCTTTCTGGGTCTGGGATACATCACTTAGGATGATTTTTTTCTAGTTCCATCTATTTGCCTGCAAATTTTATGATGTTATTTTTTTAAACTGCTAGATAATACTCTTGTGAAAATGTACCATATTTTCCTTATCCATTCTTCTGTTGAGGAGCATCTAGGTTGTTTGCAATTTATGGCTATTATGAAGAGAGCAGCAATGAACGTGGTTGAACAAATGTCTCTGTGGTAGGACGAAACATACTTTGGGTGTAGTAGTTGAAACTTTGAGGTAGATCGATTCCCATCTTCCTGAGGAACAGCCACACTGATTTCCATAGTGGCAGCAAGTGTTCTTAATCACTGTAAAGAGTGATTGATTGTGCTACATTGGTAACCTTCCATGTGTTATTTTCAGAAGAAAGTCCTTACAATATTGTAAAGATTCTTATGTCTCGTATTTTTCTCCCTATAGCTGGTTGTTCAAAGTCGTGTGATGCTGCTCAGTACTGGTCCTCAGGGTTTACAGTTTTACAGGCATCAATAGATGCTGCCATTATACAGGTAAATGTAACAAAGGAAGAAAAATCAAACCACAATTTAATAATTACTCCTTAATTCTTTAAAGTTGGATTTGGTTAAGTTACTTAAAAATATATATAATACATAACATAATCATTTGAGAAAAAAGATAAAATGGAAATAATATTTTCTAATTTAATACTTCTTGAAGTCTACTTTTATTGTATAGTTTTATGAATATTATTCAGCATACTGTATGTATATCAATACCATATATTTATTGATTATAGGCAATATTTCTGAAATATTCCTGTATTATGAAGGATCTGAAATTTTAGACTTTTCACTTGAATGCAAATAAGTTAAAGAAGGTGACTACCTTTATTATCTTAATTGTAGTGCTAGATTTTATTTTCTATTCAACATTTATCCCTTATTTATTAAACAATGTTTCTAAGTTATATTCTCATATAAATTTATTTAATGTTTACCAACCTTCTGAGACTGAAACTGAAAATAAAGTTATATCAAGTAGCTTCAGGACCCTGAATTACTGGCAGAGGATCAGATTATGGTCTTTTGACTCCTAAGTCTAAGCTTTAGTACAATTCTGCCTCTAAGATGATGTGTAAATTCTTAAATTATGCTCTAAAGGTATGGCCTTAAATTTTGTGCCTTAAACGAGAGCCATTAGAATTACATATCACATTTCTACATTTTCCCTAGTATCTGTGGGTTTTTTTCCTATTTGCTTTTTCAATTTGAAATTTACTATAAAATATCTTAATATAAAAATGCATATAAGCAGTCTTCTCTACCAAACTGTACATTCAGAGTATGCATGATACAATAGAAGTAGGATTGGAGTCTGTAAACAGCAGTCTTGTCTCTTCTAGCTGTTAAACTTCTAGGTAGCACACTGACTGTAAATGTAATACTTTTTTGTGACAGGACTCTTGTAAGAACCAAATAAGATAATGTGTGTAGAATTGTCTTAAAAATGATTGCAACTTGCATGCTGTGACTGTATTAGGGTTTGTAATACTGTGTTACTTCAGTTGTATTGTTAAGATAAAGATTGAAATATTAGATGTGTCTCTATGATGATACTACAGAACTTAATTGTGTTTCAGTCAGATATTAGCCCTCACAAGCTTAGACCACTGTGTTGTCTAGTACAGAGTTGTATTTCAGGCATTTATTTGAATATTAGAAGTATCAGTTAGTAAATATTTTAATTACATAATTCTGTAAATATATCCTGTGTATCTATTTTATTTTGGTTTTTCAAGACAGGGTTTCTCTGTGTAGCTTTGGTGCCTGTCCTGGATCTCGCTCTGTAGACCAGGCTGGCCTTGAACTCAGAGAATTCTGCCTGGTTCTGCCTCCCAAGTGCTGTGATTAAAGGTTTGTGCCATTACTGCCCAGCCTGAATGTATCAATTTTAAAGCAGTAAGAAAACATGCTCTTGCTGGACGGTGGTGGTGCACGCCTTTAACCCCAGCACTCGGGAGGCAGAGCCAGGTGGATCTCTGTGAGTTCGAGGCCAGCCTGGGCTACAGAGTGAGTTCCAGGAAAGGTGCAAAGCTACACAGAGAAACCCTGTCTCGAAAAAAACCAAAAAAAAAAAAATGCTCTTTAAATAAAAGAGCCTTTTAAAATATAGCCTTAGGAATGGTGGCTATTAATCATTCCTATAAGCCTCAGCTTTGAAGAAGCAAGCATATTCTTAATATGTCTTTAATCTGCTTAATGTGATAATAAAATCATATGATTTTATTTTATTGGATGAATTAATCAAAATTTATTCATTCCAATTCTTCAAACTTTTAATTTCCAGAATGAATTAAAAGGAGAATTCTGCTTTATATGATGATATTATGGTCACTCACTTTATTTCAAGAGTGTGGTTTTTTTTAGTATTTTATTTGCATGAGGTTACTTACTAATTTTAGGTAATAATAATCACATTTTATTAGGAGCTATTGTCAGAACTAAATTAATTTAATGTGTTTACATTTTGTAATTATAGCTGAAGACCAATGTTTCTCTGTGGAAGGAGCTGGAGTCAACTAAAGCTGTTATCATGGGAGAAACTGCTGTTGTAGAAATAGACACTTTCCCCCGAGGAGTCATTTTAATATATCTAGTCATAGCATTTTCACCTTTTGGGTACTTTTTGGCAATTCACATTGTAGCAGAAAAAGAAAAAAAGTTAAAGGAATTTTTAAAGATAATGGGACTTCATGACACTGCTTTTTGGTATGTTTAATGGTTTATTACTTAGTATAGTTAACAGTTGTATTAAATATACAGATCTTGAGCAGTATACTCTAATTTACCCAATTTGATGTAATGCTGATCCCAATCCTTGTAATATTTCCGTTTTTCTTAGAATTTGAGATTAGCTAATTAGTTGCTTGTTTTACTGTAAGGGAAGAGCAGTGTGGGAAGTTTATGTTGACAGTACATTTAAATTTTATCTCACATTCTGTTTGAACCCATGAGCCATGTACCATGTATTTCATCTCATCATTGCACTGAAGATATGAAATCTCTAAAAATTAAAAGTTGACTATTAATGTCCTTCTCTAATATCATAGCATATACATAACACTGAAAATTTAGTTAAAAAGATCAGGGTCTGCACATGTAGTTCCTGAACTCTTTTCTCCACCTGAAAACCAGTAAAGTAAGATGAGGAACATATAGGTAATTTATAGAGACACAATGGAGAAAAAAGTTCCCATGAGTGTATGTTACTATATCAGCATTTTTATACAGTGCTAATTTTATGGAGGCATGCATATTTATAAATAGCTAAGTACTTTTTTTTCTTTCTACTGTGTATTAAGACACGTTGTTTATAAGCTGGCTTGCTTGTGCCTGCCTATAATGCACTAAAAAATTAAGTCAGGAGGGTCTTGAGTCTGAGGCCAGCCTAGGCTACATTGCTAGATGCTGTTTCAAACAAAAACTGGTTTCTTTTAGCTCATTTAGGAGGAAGGTTAGTACTGTGTAAGTTGCTATTAAAAGATGCATTTACACATTTTTATTTTGCCTATTGTAACAATTATAAAGCTTTTATTATGTCTTAACATTTTCTTTACTTTTTAAATTTATTTTTATTTTGCATGTATGAATGTTTTGCCTGCATGTATGTCTGTGCACCATGTGTGTGCAGTGTTTGCAGAAGCCAGAAGAGAGTATTGGATTCTGTAGCTTGAGTTTTCCTGCCTGGCCCACAGTCAGGACAAATCTCTGTCACCTGCCAGTCCCACTGCAGCTCAGACCCGACCAAGTAAACACAGAGACTTATATTGCTTACAAACTGTATGGCCGGGGCAGGCTTCTTGCTAACTGTTCTCATAGCTTAAATTAATCCATTTCCATTAATCTATACCTTGCCACGTGGCTCGTGGCTTACCGGCATCTTCACATGCTGTTTGTCATCATGGCGGCTGGCAGTGTCTGTCTGACTCAGCCTTCCACTTCCCAGCTTTATTCTCCTCCTTGTCCCACCTACACTTCCTGCCTAGCCAATGGCCAATCAGCATTTTATTTATTGATCAATCAGCAACACATTTGCCATACAGAACATCCCACAGCACTCCCCCCCTTTTTTTTTTTCAAAAAGGAAGGTTTTAACCTTAACAAAGTAAAATTACATATAATTTGGGAATTTGGGCGTAGCTTCTCTTACTACTTCCTGCTGGAGGGGGGCGCTGTATCTTATGGGGACACAAAGAAAATTTTAGGATCATGGAGTAGTCCGTGAGGCTGTATCGTCTGAGCCAGTTGCCTTGAAACCATTCTGGATGTTGAATCATCTGGGCCATGGTGTCATCGGAGACCTTTCAGGGGGTCTTGGCTGGTCAAACGTGATGTATCTTAATCTTGAACAAATCCATAGCCTCTGGCTTTCTGCGGAAACAAAAGAGACTCTTTTCCAAAGCAACATATCCTTTTATCCAAATTTTGAGGTCAAGGTACCTTTAAAATATACATTTTGGCATAATTCAACAGTTTTTACAATCAAATGTTTTTCTGCAGTTAAAAATCCCAAAGACAACACAATCCAGATTCTCTGTGTAATATTCATCTCTATGTGGCTTATTTTCTATATTACCTTTACTGTCTCTTTAAAGACTTTATTTTTTAAAACTATGTATTTGTTTCTATAACTCTATATATCACCTTTTTTGTCTCTTTCAAGCCTACGTATCTTTTACACACATTGTAAACTATTACATCTGAATCTATCTTATTGTGAATCTATTGCCTTAAACTGCAGCAGCTGTGGCTGCTGTCTCCACCCACCTCAGCTTCCCAACATGGCGGTGGTAGTTTACCACCAGCTCTGGGAGCTATCATGGGTCTATGCTTTTATCCAAGCAGCATGTAGCCCAAAAACCTCTTTTTTTGTTTTGTACTAGCAAAGTCTAAATCCACCATGCAGCTTAATCTGCCACTTGCAGAGGCCTCATTCCCACCATACTGCAGGTCGAGCGCACAGGCTAGGAACCCACAAGTAGCTCAAACCGGCAGCTGCCACTCATTTGAGAGAGACAATTAGGAAGCTGTTTTTAGCTCCGTTTTAGAATCTTTTCTCAGGTTTTAGGTAGAAACTCTTGCCACCACGTTGGACGCCATTTGTAGCTTGAGTTTTCCTGCCTGGCCCACAGTCAGGACAAATCTCTGTCACCCGCCAGTCCCACTGCAGCTCAGACCCGACCAAGTAAACACAGAGACTTATATTGCTTACAAACTGTATGGCCGTGGCAGGCTTCTTGCTAACTGTTCTTACAGCTTAAATTAATCCATTTCTATTAATCTATACCTTGCCACGTGGCTCGTGGCTTACCGGCATCTTCACATGCTGTTTGTCATCATGGCGGCTGGCAGTGTCTGTCTGACTCAGCCTTCCACTTCCCAGCTTTATTCTCCTCCTTGTCCCGCCTACACTTCCTGCCTAGCCAATGGCCAGTCAGTATTTTATTTATTGACCAATCAGCAACACATTTGCCATACAGAACATCCCACAGCAGGATTCTCTGGAACTGGAATTACAGATGGTTCTTAGTCCCTGTGTCAGTCCTAGGAATCAAACCCAGGTCCTCTGCAAGAGCCAACGAACGGTCTTAACCACTGAGCTATCTCTCCAGCCCCATACTGTTATTTTGAAAGAGGTCTCTACAAGTAACTCTGGCTGTCTTGGAACTTCCTAGATAGACCAGGGTGGCCTTGAACTCACAGAGGTCTTCCTTCCTCTGCCTCCTGAGTGCTGGGATTAAAGGTGTGCGTGACTACACCTAACCTTTTTTTTTTAAATGTTCTAGAAATGGCTTTTAAGAAGCAATGGGTTATTATTTTTGTATTGAAATTGCTAGATGAACTTAGCTCTAAGTGATAAATATATTAACTCAAATGTTTATATTTGAAGTTTTCTTTAAAATGATTTTTCTTCAATGCTAATGGGAAAAGAAATAAAATGTAAAATTAAATACTATAATAATTCCATTGAGCTCTAATTTGAGGGAAATTCTTGAGTAAAAATAGTGACTCTAGTTTGATCTTATTAATCAGCAGCTCACATGGTGTGAGTATGTAATTATGTCATTACTTGGTAAGGACTTTTGTGTTTTTGATAACCAAAGGTTCAGGGTTTAATTATAGTTCATTTCATAAAGAAAACAATTATATTGACTTACTAAACTTTTACAGTTTAAGAGAATCAGAGATGCTGGTGCTCTTTTGGATTTTGAGAGTATTAGCTTTAATCATGAATTGCTATTACATTTTAAAACTTTTTGATGCTGAGAGAGCATTTTATCTCTATATCAGTCACATTCACCTGTGACTTGACTAATACTTTATTTTTGGTTATTTAACAATATTAATTTTCAGTACATGAACACATGCAAATAAATTCATTTAAAGAATAAAATGGCTAAAACAAATTTGAAGCTTAGTTTAAAGCTTTTTTTTTTTTCACTGCTGAAGTGCGTTCATTTGACTATAAATGTATTTGCGCTTTCATTGTAGGCTTTCCTGGGTTCTTCTGTATACAAGTTTGATTTTCCTTATGTCACTTCTTATGGCAGTCATTGCAACAGCTTCTTCCTTATTCCCTCAGAGTAGCAGCGTTGTAATTTTTCTACTCTTCTTCTTATATGGATTATCATCTGTGAGTATTTTAACTGGAAATATCAGAGTACCTTCATAATGCATTTATGATCTTTTCATTGATTAACTTAGTCAATTTTTCATAAAGATATTTTTACTAACTTACAGATAAATAACTAAATAGTACATGATGTAGTATTGTATAATAATGCTTTTAGAAAAATTATAATCTCATGTTTAAATCTAACTTGTTTTTGGTATATTATATTTAAATGTAGTTCTGCTATTGTCTTTGTATAGTTTGTAGAAGATTGTACACTGCTGTATTTTTCCCCCTTTCATGAAGCCTTGACTTTTTCAAATTAGTTTATGCTCTAGGACAATTAGTTTTAAAGGCTTTTTTTTTTTAAATGTAGTTCTTTAGTAGTCTGATAGTCATTTGGTATGCTAACTGATGAATATAATGACTGACCATTGTTTTAAATGATTCCAGTTTTTATTATGATTGACTTATGTGCCTGTCTATATATTGTTAAATACTTTTACTATCATTTCCATTCTTCAAAATAATAAATTATAAATAGCTCCTATTTCTAGTATAATGACCTAATATATCATTTTCAACACTCAGTTTAAAACATAGATTCTTTGTTTAAAAACTTACTGGGGACTTGGGTGGAAGTACTTGCCTGACGACGGTAAGGACCTGAGTTTAGATCTCCAGCACCCACATAAATGTATTTGAAACCCCAGTGTGGGGGTTGAGGATTGGGAAGGTGAGGGGATAGAAACAGGTGGGTCCCTGGGGCTAGCTAGCCAACACATGGCTCCTCATGGACTCCATTGTATAAATGTGCTTATGTTTCCCTATTATACAGATAAATGTAGGCATTAACATTTGTCAGTTTAAAAATTTTAAATGTGTATCTCTATTTCTGTAAAAACAAAGCTTCTTCCTGTAGCATTTAGAAATTATATTTTAACAGCTGTAGTTTCTCATGAATGCAACTTTCTTTCACAAAAAAGTTAATTTGCTTTTCTATCAGTGTATATGAGTTATAAATTAACCTTAACATTTCTGCTTTTTAGGTGTTTTTTGCTTTAATGCTGACACCTCTTTTTAAAAAATCAAAACACGTGGGAGTAGTTGAGTTTTTTGTCACTGTGGCACTTGGATTTGTTGGCCTTTTGATAGTCCTCATGGAAAGTTTCCCCAAATCGCTAGTGTGGCTCTTCAGCCCTTTCTGTCAGTGTACCTTTCTGATTGGTATTGCCCAGGTAGGTAATGCATTCATCTTTCATTCGCCAAGTGTTTTCTTTGCTTGCCAGTTGGTTGCAGTGTCTTGTCCTACCACTAATAGCACCTTTTGTTTGTAAACAAACAACACTAACACTTCTTGAGAAAGAGATGCAAGAAAATTGTTAAATTTCATCAGAAAGAAATATACTAGAGTATACCTTATATTTACTGTCACTTATAATGTCTCCAATTTTAAGTTTTCAGTTAAATATCTTGCTTACAAGTTCTTAAGTTTTTGCTTTAGTGTATCTCATAACTCTGTTTCAGTGTAATAACTCAGTTTATTAGAAGTCATTGGTTGAGTTCCAAATAATCTTCATTGCTCTATTGTAAACACTTAAATTTATTTCAGAAGAATGCTGAGCAGAAAATTGTGTATGACACAGAACAAAGTTATCACGAGTAAAATAATAAAATATGTTAAGTGTGTAGGGTAGGTTTTATTAGTCTAGGAGCCATAGAATTGTCATTCATCTAAATAATATTTAGAATTAGGGAAAGGAGAGATATCTTAGTGGTTAAGAGAACTAGCTACTTTTCCAGAGGTTCAAAGTCCAATTCCTAGCACCCCCATGGTGGCTTTCAAGTGGCTATAATTCTAGTTACAGGAATCTGATGCTCTCTTTTGCTCCTCCGGCACCAGGCACACACCTGCAGGCAAAACATCTGTATACATAAAAAAATTTAAATTAAGAATACTTACATTATAAATTTGCTTTTTTATTTTTCTTACATGTATAGTCAGAGTCAAATGAAAAAATAAATCTCCTAAGGAGCTATTTATAGAGTAGAACATAAACTCAGTTATTATATGTGATTTATGTTTGATATTATGTAGATGTTTTATGAGGTAACATTGCAGTAGATTATTTATAAATATATTAATCAATTGATTTAATTACTTGAAACTTAAGAGTCATTGTTACACACTTTGAGACTGTACTGTTGCATACAAGCTTCAGAAGCATAGACTGGGAAAAAAGGAATTAAAAGATGGGCATGGTGGTGCATGCCTTTAAATCCTTTAATCAGGAGACAGAGACAAGTAGATCTCTGAGTTCAAGGTCAGCTCAGTCTACAAAGACCCTGTCTTAAAAAACAAAACAAAACAAAACAAAAAAACTCACACAGAATAGAAACCATGATTAAATGAATCATTTAGGTAAACTTTCTCTCTCTCTCTCTCTCTCTCTTTTGGGTGGTCCTTACTATTTTCCTTATAACGGCTTGTTTCTAATTACTTTTTAAATAGTTTTGTTAATGTCACTCTGGATAAAACAAATGATTAGTAGTGTTAGCTTTGTTCTAATCATCTTTGTGAATAAAGTTGGTGTTTTTGTTTTCAGGTCATGCATTTGGAAGATTTTAATGACGGTGCCTTATTTTCTAATTTGACTGAAGGCCCCTATCCTCTAATCATTACTGTTGTCATGCTGGCTCTTGATAGTGTATTCTATGTCCTCCTGGCTGTTTATCTTGATCAAGTCATTCCAGGTATGTGCTTGGTTACTGTAAAGATTCTAAAGGAATTTTGCTCATATAGGGTCAGTTTAACTTTTTTCCCCCTCCTAGTCAGAGTATTTTAAGTCTTTGGTGGTTTAATTTGCTTTTAAGTAATATATATGCATATATTCACAATATACATTATGTTGTGTATTCACCACCCTCTAGTGAACATAAGGAGATTGTGTAAAAAGGATGTTTGTTTTGAAAGGTTAGTTGAACTTCACAGCTCAATCCTTACTTATATTAATCTCTTAAAACTATTTTATTTAACTCTTTAAAATCTAAAACTATGAAGCAATCTTGTAACTCCAAACACTTTTCTTCAACTTTTAAAAATTTAATTTCGTTTTTAAAAATTAAAATACAATTACATTATGTGCCTTTCACTTTACTCCCTCCAACTCTTTTCATGTCCCTGCCCCCCCCAAATTCATGGCCTCTTTTTTTGTTGTAGTTACATCTATCTGTCTTTCTGTCTGTCTATCTAAATATCTGTCTAAATGCATAAATATGTAAATACAACCCACTGAGTACCTTTAGTGATGTTTGTATATGATTGTCCCCCTTCATCATTTACCATGTGTTCTTGAGGTCCTCATTATATTTTTCTGAATTCCAGGTCTATCTAATATGGTAAATACCAGTTAATATGACTTTATTTAATTAATTATTACTAATTTTCTTTTGAGACAAGGTCTTACTCTATAATCTTTTCTGGGCTGGAACTTGCTGTGTAGTTTCTGCTAGCTTTAACCTCAGAATCTGTCTGCCTCTGCTTCCCATGTGCTAGGATTCAGTGTATGTGCTACCACACCCATCTAATATGACTTTTAAAATCAAAATTAAGAAAATAAGGTTATTTACTATCTATGATTTTAAAAATGCTTTCAGAAAGAATTTCTTATAGCTCTGTTTTTACTTTCTATTTTTAGGAGAATTTGGCTTAAGGAGATCATCTTTATACTTTCTAAAACCATCATATTGGTCAAAAACCAAAAGAAATTATAAGGAGCTATCAGAGGGCAACGTTAATGGGAATATTAGTCTTAGTGAAATTGTTGAGCCTGTTTCTTCAGAATTTATAGGAAAAGAAGCTATAAGGTACGATTCATTTTTGGAAGTATAGATAGAACTGTTGATGGAAATTGTGACATTTAAATCCTGTGTTGTACTATCATAAAAGATGTGGAATGAGAAAATTCACATTTGTAGGCAGTTTGATATTGCTGACATAAAATGACATCTAGTTTATATCTCCTTTAATGAAAAATGAAAATAATCTGTAAATTCCTTGAAGCAAGTGCTTCACTTAGAAGTTATCTGAGCATGAAAAGGAGTGAATGATGGAAAAAATGGAGAGCAGCAGTGTACTTTTATAGTTTCTTAGATAATTGTGTCCTTAATGTCACTTTTCTTTGTTTTTTTGTTTTAGCAGGAAGGTGGTTTATTATTTTTCCCTATTAAATATTTCAGCCTTTTCTTTCCTCCTCCATTTTTTGTACAATAATGCAAATTTATTCTTGTTTTGAACATGTGATTACAAAATATCCCTCTAGTTCCACTCATCCATTTTTTTTTTCCCAAATTTGAATATGTGTTACCCGAGGTACATGTGTACATCACTATTTTAAATAGTGTGCAATGTATCTTATATTGCTAGAGATATATAGCTAGTTCAGAATTTAAAAGGTACATCTTAAAGCAATTAAGATAGCTTGGATAAAAATATCATATGTGTAAACACATGTAATCATACATTTTTGTGTATATTTCTAATATAAATCTGTGTTTTTCAGAATAAATGGTATTCAGAAGGCCTATAGAAAAAAAAATGAAAATGTGGAGGCTTTGAGAAGTAAGTACCCTGCCCAGAATTTAGTTCATAGCATCATAGTACAAATGAGGAAGTTTAAACTTACCTGTTAGGATTTTCTGTCTTGCCATTATAGATACTTTATGTGACTAATGTTGATAATAAAACTTACAACATGGAAGTTAATAAAGCCAGAAAGTGATATCTGTTAACATGGGAATACCCAACTATTTGAACCAGTTTATATTTTGTTCTTTTACACTTTATTATTGTATACATGTATATCTGTTAGTTATCTCTTTTTAAGATTCTGTTTGTTGTGATGAACTATCTTGAGAATTGGGGTACATTTTGCAATATGTAAATATCTTCCAGGATCAGTAAAATACACATACACTGACATTTTTAATCTATGTGACTTTACTCTGGTAGGGTACAGTGGTATGTTAGTATAGTTTTATTTTACATTGGCCCAATACATAGTGCTCCTTATCATTCCTTCATTGGGCATTTGAATGTTCTTCTTTCTAAAGTACCTATTTAAGTTTTTCATTTTTAATATTTTAGATTCATGGCTTGTGTTAGATAAAGGTATTCAGATATCCTATTCTAATTTGAAGCATGCCTTTTGCTTCTGAACAGTGTGTTTTGATGAGCATAAGCAAATTCTTAATTTAAATTAGGCCCAATATATGAGTCTATCATTTCTGGCTGCAGTGCTATTAATGATAAATGATTCTTTAATTGTTTTACTTGACATTAAAGCTTAGGTATCGCCTCCAATGTGAGTTATTCAACTGGAAGTTACTGCCAATGCCAAGAAGCAAGAGAAAGAAATAAATGATACCCAGGTTGTAAAGGAACCAATGAAATCAACTTACTTTCAGATGAAATGATCAGTCTCTGTAATAAAAATAGTAAAACTAAAAATGTGCTTAGAAGAGTGACAGGGTCCAAGATAAATAAATAAATAAATAAATAAATATATATATATATATATATATATATATATATTTATATATAAAAAGTACAGAACATTCCTGACAAAGCTTTAAGAACTAGACAGAAATACCATGTTTAAGGGTTGAATGTGTAGATGTGAATTCTATCCAGATTTTATAGATTCACACTCAATCAAAATTCTGTTAGACTTTTTTGTTCATTTTGAAAAGTGGATTCTAAAAATTATGTATAAGTTAAATGACTTAGAATTCCCCAAACAAATGTAAACAACAACAACAACAATGACAGATTTGGAGTTTATTATTACCTTGCTTCAAGATTATAGTAATCACGACTTTTTTTCTTGGCATAAAAGAAATAGAAAAAGCAGTGAAATAGAGAACACAGAATGCTGTGGGATAATGCCCTTGTACACCGGTTTAATAAAACACTGATTGGCCAGTAGCCAGGCAGGTAGTATAGGCAGGGCCAGCGGAAGAGAGGAATGCTGGGAACAGGAAGGACCGAGTCACGTGTCGCCAGCCAGACATAGAGGAAGCAAGATGACAAGGCAGAATTGAGAAAAGGTACCAAGCCACGTGGCTAAACATAAATAAGAATTATGGGTTAATTTAAGTGTAAGAGCTAGTCAGTAATAAGCCTGAGCTAATGGCGAAGCAGTTATAATTAATATAAGCCTCTGTGTGCTTACTTGGGGGGTGCGAGTGGGAGAGATTTGTCCCAACCGCTGGCCAGCTGGGACATAGAAAAACTCCAGCTACAACTGAAATATTACTTAAATTTTTATAAGAATTAAATTTTCAATAAAGTTTAAAACAAAACTAGAAAAATATGAACTGTGATCCATGCTGAACACTGTATACAAAACCTAGTGGAAATCGGGTCATACAACCAAATACAAAACTTATGACAATAAAACTTAAAGAATTAAAACTAGGAGAAATATTTTGAGACTTGGTTAAACAGAAGTTTTATAGTTATGGTTCCAGAAGCACAAACTGTACCCGATTGAAAAAGTCTTCTGCTCTTTGTAAGATACTGCTAAGGAAATGAAAAAAGTAATAGATTGGAAGAAAGGTTTGTAAATCCTATGTCCAACAAAGCACTTTTATCTAGAATATTTTAAAATGCCTCAAAATGCAAAAATAAGAAAACAGAAGTGTAGTTGGAAGTTTTCCTGTCTCCCACTGGGTCCCATAATCACTTGGTCCCAAGTAAACACACAGAGCCTTATATTAATTACAAACTGTATGGGCTATGGCTCAGGCTTCTTGTTTTGCCACGTGGCTTCGTGGCATTACGTGTTCTTTCACATCTTGCTTCTCATGGTGGTGGCTTGCAGCGTCTCCCCCAACTCTGCCTTTCTCCTCTCTATATATCTTTGCTTGGATTTCCTGCCTGGCTATAACCTGTTTTGCCATAGGCCAATGCAGCTTTATTTATTAACCAATGGGAGAAACATATACTCACAGCATACAGAAAGACATCCCACAACACTTTCCTTTTTCTTTCTAATAAAAAAGGAAGGTTTTAACTTTAACATAGTGAAATTACACACACCAAAAAAATTATCAAGCAGTAATTACAGTTACACTAGCTAGTCTATTTGTATTTGGCAAAATTAGAAAATATTCTATCATCCCCTATTTTTGTGAGTCTAAAGTTTTATACCTAATTTATCTTTTATGATTACTAAGGAAAACTATAATTGTAACACTCTAGTCTTCAACTCCATCAAAGATCCCAGAAGGATATAATATTCCCTAAGTAAACAGGAGGTGCATTATAAGCAACTTCCAAAATTCTAGAAATGACAGAGACATCTGGCTGTCTGGACAGTCACCCAAAGTTCCTCTGCAACATTGAGGCATTCATCTTCAGCCTGCAGGTCTAGAGTCTCTGGCAGACTTTTTTGTGAAGCAGAAAATTTGAAGAATTGTCTTACCTATTGGCAAAATTCATCAGTTGCTTTCCCCTGTGTCCTGCAGAATGTCTGACAGTATCTTCTGTGAAGCATAGCAGCTTTGGCTGACTCTGCTCCGTTAGGTTTCCCAACATGGCCTAGGTACGTTTACCGCCAGCTCTGGGAGCCATGCTTACCACCAACTCTGGGAAGCAGTGGGTCTGTGCCTCCATCAAGTAGCTTGTAGCCCAGAAACTTTTTTTTTTGTCTGTACTAGCAGATGTGGGGAAGGAATGACTATTACAGGGGCACACAGTAGTCCAAGATAAATCATAATTAGGCTCTGGACCTGCAACATTTCAACCTCTCCAGATCATGGAAGTTCTAATCAGTCAGTCAGCCTTGCATGGCTGAGTGAACAGTGAGGCTTCCTACCAGGAGCTTTCTCTCAGTCTTAGGGTCGTTTCTTGACTAGTTCATTCCTGCTTTGTCATTTGAGTTGTTCATATCTGTCCTCCTTCAGTTGATTATAGAGCCATCTAGTTGTACATAATTCATTAAATTGAACTCTTAGGGGCTGGAGAGATAGATGGCTTAGTAGTTAGGAACACCGGCTTTGTTTCCAGAGGACCTGAGTCCAATTCCCAGCACTTACATGGCAGTTCACAATTGTCTGTAACTACACTTCCAAGGCATCTGACGCATGCAGGCAAAATATCTGTGCACATAAAATGAAAATAAGAAAAATTGTACAAATTTAACCTTTTACATATTCTCTTAGCTATTCCTGTGCTTCTGGTATCAACTCCTTGTTTTGTTCTTTTTGTTTCCACTGTATTTAACATGTCTTCAGATACCTTTGTGAGATAAATTTTTCTTTTAATTTCCTTGATAATTTTTAAAAGTCAGTACACAGAAAACCTTCAAATACTTTGTGTATACCTTAAATCTTAGTGTCAGAACAAATTAATAACAGTTTATTTACATTTCCTGTTATTTAAACCACTGACTATGTTGATGCTACTTAACTGCATAAACTATGTTGTTAACTTTATGTATTGAAATTTGTCTTCCTTAAGATTGCTTGGAATTATGAATTGCCGTATATAGCTGAACAGAAATTAAAAACACATTTGAGCCTTCTCTTTTTCCCTGAACTAGATTTGTCATTTGACATATATGAAGGTCAAATTACTGCATTACTGGGTCATAGTGGAACAGGAAAAAGTACACTGATGAATATTCTTTGTGGATTGTGCCCACCTTCTGATGGTAAGAGTTTTCTCACTTAGAAGAAAAAAATCTTAAAATTTTGTAAGCATTATTAATGAAGGATTCACAGTATGTAGCAATTATTTGTCTCTTTACATGTATACTAGATGATTTATGCAGTGATTTGGAATAGCTATTTCTACATCTATGAAGAAGTTTTTTTTTTTACTATATACACTATTTTTTTAAAATAAGAAATTGGTCCCATGATATTTAATAAAGTACAAAAAAAATCTAAATTTTTAACTACTTATTTTGATTTACTTTATTTTGTATTTATTTAATACACCTATTTCCATCACATATTTATATGTGTACAGGTCCTTATTCCTTATTTACATGAGAAAATAAATCAGTAAGTAACTAATTGGAAATTAAATTGATATTGGAAAAAAACACAATCTCAATATGCAGATGAAGGAAAGAATGATAAATATCAACACTATCTTCTAAAATAAAATTTTAGAAGCAGTACCTCAAAGGTATAGTCTAGATCTGGGATTGTTTTATAGGTGTAAACTCTGTGTGAAATTCTCATGTTTCTGCAATTACTATATTGTCAGTGAAGTAAATTTTATCATAAAGGGACCAGATAATATTGAATCTGCATTTCAACTTTGTAAACAAGACTTGAACTTCGAAATTAGTGTGACCTGTTCTTTATTTTTATTTGCGATGTTCTCTGACATTAGTTGTAATATCTTATACTTTAGACATATGACTTTTGTTAGAGATCACCATACATTATCATGTGATTTAACAGTTCATAAGTGGAGCATATTATCATTCATTTGAGAAATAAGTAAGCTGGAATTCAAGACATTATGTTCAAGATCATACAGCCAGCTTGTGCAAAATTTGTAGATCTTACTTCATTATCTCATAGTATCTGAAGGTGAAAGAAGTCTTTACTGAACCATAAATGTAAATAGTGTCACTGTAGTTATATAGATGTTTCATGTTAAGCCTGTAGTTTATTGTTCTTTCCACTATATAATATGGCCTGGAAATGAAGGAAAATGAGTTTCAAATATAAGTGAAAACATACCACCAATACTATCTAAATGAGAATGCTATGTCTTCTAACTTTATATTAATTCTGGCTTTGCACATGTTGTAACATTTTGTTGTAACAAAAGTAAATTATTAGTTACATCAAAACATGAATTTTTTTAACACTCAATGTCTTTAATGTAAATATAAATATTTTGCTTTTAGGCTTTGCTTCTATATATGGACACAGAGTCTCTGAAATAGATGAAATGTTTGAAGCAAGAAAAATGATTGGCATTTGTCCACAGTTAGATATAAACTTTGATGTTTTGACAGTAGAAGAAAATTTATCAATTTTGGCTTCAATCAAAGGAATCCCAGCCAACAATATAATACAAGAAGTATGTTATCCATATATAAACCATCACTGTATTTCCTATAAATTAATATACTTTGTAATATTTGTGCAATAAATATGCTTGAAAATCTAAACATATAAAACCTGTCTGGGCCAGTAAACAGAAAATATGAAGAATTAGAGGGATGTGGAGTACATACCTTAGCACATGTGAATAATTCTTTTTCGTCTGGAAGGTACTTACTTTTCCCTCCCTTCCTCTCATCTGCTCTGCCCTCACCCCTCTTCTGCACACCACTCTCCCTGCCTCAGTACACACAGAGCCTTCAGACTCATCTTTTTTCCTTCCCCATTACCCAGCAAGGCACAAAATTGAAACAGACTTCCTCTAAGAACCTTGTTACTTATTATTTCCAAAATTATGTATAATATTCGTAAAAATTAAGCACATCCTAACATTTTTAAGTTGATATTAAAACTAATTTAAAAATTATACTGCTTAAATGATGCTTAAAATAATACTTCAAAACTTTAGATACATAAAACTTAAGATATATAAAAACTAATTTTGATGATTATGGAAATTATATGGTTGTTAAAATGACATTGTTCACACTTTACTTTTACAGGTGCAAAAGGTTTTACTGGATTTGGACATGCAAGCCATCAAAGATAACCAAGCAAAAAAATTAAGTGGGGGCCAAAAAAGAAAGCTGTCTTTAGGAATTGCAGTTCTTGGGAATCCGAAGGTAAATATAGTATTAATTTCACTGGTGAGATAATTTTAAATTGTATTAGATATAAAAGGTTATGGGGCTGGAGATGTACCTTGGTGGTTAAGAGCACTGACTGCTCTTCTAGGGGACCTGTGTTCGTTTCCCAGCACCCACATAGTGACTCACTCCAGTTTCTTACTCCAGTTCCAGGAGGATCTGATACACTTTTCTGGTTTCTGGGACACCAGGTATACATGAAGTGCACAGACGTGCATTCATGCAAAACACTCATACATATAAAATAATAAATAGATTTTTAAAAAGTTAAAACAAGACAAAAATTAAAGGGATAATTAAGTTAGCCACTATCTGGGTGCACTAATTTTATATGTGTTTGTTCCCTAGCTTGTAGAAACAGAGAAGCAACTTTGCCTTACGCATAGTTAAAAAGCTCATGTATGTGTTTATGACCGAGAGCCTATGGAAACCACTCTCCTGCTGTGTTCCTCCTTTCTACTGTAGCATGGGATCAGGATGGATTCTGAATTTTTATTACCTGTACTTTCTGCTAGCACCCACTATCATGTTTTTTAAATTAAAAACAATTTGAAGCCAGACGAGGTGGCACATGCCTGTAATCCAGCACTCAGGAAGCTGAGATGAGTTCAAGGCCGGTCTAGACTATATAGTAAGAGTCTATCTTAATAAAAAGTTCCCCTAAAAAAATAGAAAGAATAAGTGTCCTGTCCCCTGAAAATGCTTACTTACCTTGAAATGATACAGGACATCCTCTAAAAAATCACTTGCTTATATGCAGATTCAATTATATATAGCAATATACTTAATATTTTTTCACTTTATTTGTCCGATTGTTATACCAGTGTCTTATATATAAGTAACCACAGAAAAGATTCACTTACAATTTTAAACATTTATACAAACTTTATATAAGAATGAAAAACAGATTTTCAGGTGAAAATATTAACTTGAAATAGAGAGATTTTCCAGTGTCCACATAAATTTTAAATATTTGGTTTTCTTGCTTTTTTTTATACCTATGTTCACTCAGATACTACTGCTAGATGAACCAACAGCAGGAATGGACCCCTGCTCTCGTCACATTGTTTGGAATCTTTTAAAATACAGAAAAGCTAACAGAGTGACAGTATTCAGTACTCATTTTATGGATGAAGCTGACATTCTTGCTGGTGAGATTTTTGCTTTACTTTAATAAGATAAGTTCACAAGCCTGAAGAGAGATAAACATGGAAATGCTAAATCCCATGGAAATGCTAAATCCCAAGGAATAATTATATCATGGTGTACAGTCTAAACAAAAATATTTTTAAAAATGAAAAATTATATATTTCTGTGTTCAGTCTTTCCCAAATCATCCTGTTTCAGTGAGTTCCCAAAAGAACTCATATAAGATTTTCCATATTACTATACTCATTATATATTAATTTATTAAAGCAAAAGGCTGTGAAGCAAAATTGGCAAAGGACTAAATCATATGAGGCACAATCTGGAGGAAGCCAGGCACAGATTCCCAGAGTCCCTTAATTTCTCCGTAACTTACTTGTACCGTATTTATAAAATATTGTCTTATAGTTTAGTAGAGACTCAGTACCCATGACTCCTGTGGGTACTGGTCATAGAGCTACTCTTCCTAACAGAGCAGTTCAAGACTTCATAACACAGGACAATTCTAGACTCCTTAAAGGAAGACACGCATTCAGCATAAACTATATTTGTGTGTGTGTAGAGTTTTTGACACTAATAGAAATCTTCCTCCGTCCAGATTCCCAGGTACTAGTCAAGGGCGAGCTTTATAAGCAGATCATTCTAAGGCAGGTTTCACTGGCCTGTTAACCATTTATGTGCAGTTTTGTATGGACACACACAGAGTCCAGGTTTATGTTAGAATTGGTTTTTTAACACCTAGAGCAAAGGTCTGAGAGTTCGAACTACTATAACTTCTTTTTCTAGTTGCTTGTGTAGTATAATAAATGGATAAGTTCACTCATCTCTTCAGCAGTATCTCTATCAAAAAGAATCCAATGAACTAATGTTTTTATTGTTATTATGTTTCCTTTCTTTGTACATTTGGTTATACAGGAATTATGAAAACTCCTGTACTATAAGTTCCTTTAAGAAGAGTGTGAGCTATGTGGGGTATGCACTCTGGAGTTAGGCTGCCTGAGTACAGTTCCTGACTTCATTATGGTAGTAGCTATGCGAAACATGTCTAAACAGTGTGTATTTGTCTTCTCTCAATATTCTCATCTGAAAAAAATAGGTGATGGTATTCTAGTGTCTTCCTCATAATGTTGTTGTGATGATTAATGATATAATACTTGGATGTATGCTAATTAACTTAGCCATTGAACTGTGAATTCCACTTTGTAGATAGGAAAGCTGTCATATCACAAGGAATGCTGAAATGTGTTGGTTCTTCAATTTTCCTAAAGAGTAAATGGGGAATCGGCTACCGCCTGAGGTAACACTTGTTCTTCTCTGACTTTACTCTATTTGTATTTGTGCTTGACCTGCTGTTACTATTTTTAGGGCTTGCTATATTGTGCCTTAACTATGTTAGTGATACAATTTAAACATTCAGAATTTAGTGTTGGTTGTTTATGGAATAATCATAAAAATCATGATTTTGGCTTTCTCTAGCATGTACATTGACAGATACTGTGCCACAGAATCACTTTCTTCACTGGTTAGGCAGCACATACCTGCAGCTACTTTACTGCAACAGAATGACCAACAGCTTGTGTATAGCTTGCCTTTCAAAGACATGGACAAATTTTCAGGTATACTTTTACTTTTCAGTTTCTTGATTGACTAGGACTTTTGTTTTGGGAATAGGTTTTTTGATGATTTTTCTATGTAATAGTCCCAGCTGCCAGAACTTGTAGTTTTTTACTTTACCTAGTCTTTGAGCCTGAAATACTGAATACTAATGTGTGTGCTTCTTGTTTTTATCTTTTTACAAATAGTATGGAACTATAATTTGTTAATTTAAATAATCAATGCAAATAAAGAGAATTATGTTTATGTTGTTAAGAAAAAAATTAGCCAGGCGGTGGTGGCGCACACCTTTAATCCCAGCACTCGGGAGGCAGAGCCAGGTGGATCTCTATGAGTTCGAGGCCGGCCTGAGCTACAGAGTGAGATCCAGGACAGGCACCAAAACTACACAGAGAAACCTGTCTCAAAAAACCAAAAAAAAATAAAAAGAATTAATTAAGGCTTGGTTTGGTGGTGCCCATCTGTAATCATAGCACTTGGGAGGCAGAGGCAGCCGGAGGATGGCTACAGGTATGAGGCCAGTCTAGTCTGCATAGCACATCCCAGAGCAACCGACCCTGTGGCCGACCCTGTGTCAAAAAAAGCCACAATTTGTTGTGGGTTTCCTGAGGACAATATGCGTATGTCTGTGTTTTTTGTTGTTGTGGTTGTTTGGTTTTGGTGTACATGTGTGTAGGGAGGCTTTGTGCATGTTTTCAAATAATTTGTAATTTCAGAATAAATTATAAAGTAATTATTTTAATTTAGAATTATCATTTAAGTGCTATGAAATATTTATTAATTTTAATTTATAACATTAATGGAGTTCTAATATTTTTCCATAAATATAATTTCCTTGGCATTCTTTGGAATTTATAATAATGTTAAAAGTATCCTGAGATCAAAATCTTTGAGTTCCACTATGCTGACTAAATTTAATAATATTCTAATTTTCTCTTTCTTTCTCTCTCTCTTTCTCTCTCTCTCTCTCTCTCTCTCTCTCTCTCTCTCTCTCTTTCTTTTTCTTTCTCTTTCTTTCTTGGCTTGGACCTCACCATGTATTCCTGGCTGCTCTTAATTCCATGCTAGTCCTCTTACCTCAGCCTCTAGAGTGCTGCTGAGGTCACAGACATGAATTACTGGGCCTGCCTGCCTGCCTTATACCCGTTTTTGAATGTATTTTAGACTAATTTGTATTATTTTTGAGTGGTGTTATAGGTCAATTTATATTAATTTTATTTTAGATTATGTGTGTGGGGAGAAGGTATTTGTATGTGAATCCAGGTGCCTGTGTAGGCTTCTCGGAGGCATCAGATTCCCATGAGCTAGAGTTGTGGGTTACCCCAACATTGGTGCAAGGAACTGAACTTGGGTCCTCAGTAAGAGCGTATTTGCTTTTAAATGCTGAGCCATCTCGAGATGTCAGCCTTCTGCACGACTTATGAGAGCTCTATACCATTCAACCTGTGTTTTTCTTTCTTCTAGGTTTGTTTTCTGCTCTAGACATTCATTCAAATCTGGGTGTTATTTCTTATGGTGTTTCCATGACAACATTGGAAGATGTATTCTTAAAGCTAGAAGTTGAAGCAGAGATTGACCAAGCAGGTAAAAACAGAACTAAAAATATCAGTCAGTGAATTGGACAAGACAAAAAATTTTATAAGCAAATAAATTATGCAACTTTATGAAGTTTGTGTTGTTTTGTGGAACCAAAGACAGAAGTAAATAAGTAGCTGAAGTATTTGTGAATAGTGATAGAAATTATGAAGGAAATGATATGATATTCTTGGAAGGTTTTATTGTCAGGGAGGACTTCATTGAGAAGATATTTGAACTGAGATGTCAATTACCATAAAAATCCAGACATGCAAATATTTTAGGACAAAATGTACTATATAAAGAAAATTTCTACTTCTCAGTTGTTGAGACATTAATTAGATGTCTTTGAAGTATGAAAACACAGGTCACCATGGCAGGAACCATGAAGAAAGTAATATTACATTGATGTCAGAGAGTACCCCAAGAGCTGGGTCATGTTTTGCTTCTGAGTATCTGAGAAGAGCTTCCTTTAATTTTTTTAGTACAATGTCAAAGGGTTTTAGAGCAAAGGAATAACTTAGTAAGTCCTGATTTGTGTTTTAGTGAACACATTCTTGGTTGGAAAGGTAGCTCCATTATAGAGCACTTGTCTGGCATCTCAAAGATTCTGGGTTTGTGTCCAGCACTGAAAAAAATGTTTCTAATTATTGAATGATAATTGTACCGTGAAAGAAGAGCAGATCAGTGAGGAAACTTGTATGTAAATCTTTGAATTAGGATGGCAGTAAAATCTGCAGGAAGTGGGTTTGTGTTGTATTGATCTCAGCAATAATGATTTGCTGAGGATTCTTAGGGAGGGATCAAGAATCAATCTCAAGTTTTTGCTTTGAGAACCTGATGCAGGATTGCTACTTCCTGAGAGAAGGATAGGGTTATGTAAAGATAGGATGCATTTTTGCTGTCATTGTTTGACATGTATCTGAAGCTAAGTGAAGTTGTGAGGGCTAGACATGGAAATTCTGAAGTCACAAAGATACTGTTTTATGGAAATAGGTAAGAACACTTGGTGGGAGAATATAGAGGTGTAAAGGGCAACCCCTGATGGTAAGCAGTCAAGGAGCAAGAGAAGGGCTGACAATTAGAATTTTCTTTCTTCACTAAAGAACAGAGAAGGGAAATTTGAGAAAAAGCTGTCTTTGGGGAAAGAGAAAGTGGACATTTAATTATCAAATAGCATACAGAGTAAAGTGAGGAAAGAAAATAGTTTTGGAAATGGGATAACGAGGGGCTTGGTAGTGGGGAAGACACTAGTAACCTTGCCAAGAGCATCTTGTGTGGTGTGGCAAAGAGCGAAGCTGGAGCTATGTAGTACAAGATGAGAATGTGAGCTGAGAATTTTATGATTGAAACTTAGCACGTGTTCAACTTGAATAGATGTTGACAAAGTGTATAAGAGTTCCATTTTTGTTCCACATCACTGCCAGATTCATTCTGTAAAGTTGACATGTCTTAGTTTTTAATCTTTGTATTCCAAACATATTCCAGAATTTTTGTTTGTTTGTTTACTTTTATTGGCAAGTAGATTATAGCGTATTTACACAGCAGCCCCTGGAAGAAGAAATGGATTCAAAATCTTTTGATGAAATGGAACAGAGTTTACTTATTCTTTCTGAAACAAAAGCTTCTCTAGTGAGCACCATGAGCCTTTGGAAACAGCAAGTGTCTACAATAGCAAAGTTTCATTTCCTCACATTGAAACGAGAAAGCAAATCAGTGCGCTCAGTGTAAGTGTAATTATCATTCTTCTGAAAACTTGTCTTTTTGAGGTTGCAAATTGGATTTGCTGTCTTTACTTTTAAATAATAACATGTACACAGCTTTGTAGTTTTGAAAGATCAAAATGACAATTTCACAGTATCAAAAGGTACAGTAATTTTATCACAGACCCATTGTACTTTATTTTTTATTCATATTGATTGATTGATTGATTGAGACAAGAGTCTCACTGTGTAGCACTGGCTGGCATGGAACTCACTATGTGCACCAGGCTGGCCTTCACCTAACAGATATCCACCTGTCTCTGCCTCCTAATCCCTCTGGGATTAAAGGTGTTTACCACCAACCAATTCCTGTACTCTTTTTATCTAAACTGGTATCTGTTGTCTTATCTTTAAAATGATGAAGTGACAAGAATTACTATCTAATGTCTAATTTTTGAGTTTTGTCATTATATTTAAATTTTATTTTGCTCTTGTAGCTTTTCATAATTTTTCCATTCATTAATTTTTATAATTGTTCTTATTAAACAGCAGGAAAGTTAAGTTTTATCCCTGTTTATCAGATGAAGAAAACTGAAATATAAAGAAAGCTATATAGCTAGTAAACGTAGGATTTAAAAATTCTCTACATAATTTTATTCTCTCTCAGTTAATACCCCTTCTCCTCATTCTGATAATGACCTTGGGAAATTATATTTTCTGCTTTAATATACCATATGTCTGTCTTGTTAGAGCCAAAATGATTGTAGGAATAAAATTTAATAATAAGAGCGTTCATAAATGTCTGAAATATTTGGGAGTTATTTGAGGTTTTAACCAAATTTATTTAGTATCAAACAAGTGCTAGTCAAGCATCTGATTTGTTTCTATATCGCTTGCCCTGAAAAAAAAATGTTTATTTAAGTCAGCATATTTTAAATTTATTTAGTTGAAATCATTTTGATAATACATTCTCTGGAAAACAATGAAAGTGACTTAATTCAGATTGCTGTAATAAAATTTCATGAACTGGGTGTTTTTGGAGGTTAGAAGTTGGGGATCCCAAGTGTCAGCATAGTAAAGGCTCTTTTCTTTCCTTGAAGAAGGATGCCATTTAGTTGCATGCTTTAGTGATTTCTCTTTTGGTTTGGAAAGAACATGCAAACCAGCACACTAGCACGTGCTTCTTGGTGTCAGTTTTAAAAGGGTGCTAATCCCATCATAAGGGCCTTATCTAATTCGCATTGCTCTCCAGAGTTCCTGTCTTCAGATATCATCAGACTAAGGATTAGGGCTTCACTATGTAAATTTGAGGGGACGCAAACATTGAGTTTAAGACAAACATGTTGTATGGTTAAATATACCAGGAACTATTTCTTATAATTCTCTCAAAGAATAGTTAACATGTAAGAACACCATGGAAATTATTTTTCCAGTTTTATAATATAAAATTTTAACATTAACCTGAAGCTTCCATATATTTTTGTCATGATTTTTGTCTTTCTTTTTTTTTTGTGGGTAGAGATAAATCAATAAATTTTATATTCAGTTTTAAAAAATGCAATAAACATTTCATGATATTGTTACTGGGATAACAGTCCCAGGTGACACAACATCATAGGTTCCTGCTCTATAATAATCAGCACATAACATAGAAATGCTAAGAGGGGAAAAAAACCCTCACTCCTGAACTTACTTTCTTTTTTTTTTTTTTCATTTTTTTATTAAGAAATTTTCTATTCACTTTACATACCAACCACAAATCCCCCCTCTTCCCTCTTCTCACCTCCCCTTTCAGCCTTTCCCCCCAACCCACCCTCCATCCCCACATTTTCCAAATCAAGGTTTCCTATGGGGAGTTAGCAGAGCCTGGCACACTCTGCTGAGGCAGGTCCGAGCCCCACCCTCTGCATCAAGGCTGTCACATCCTAGGCACTGGGCTCTAAAAAGCCTGCCCACACGCCAGGGAAGGATCCCGATCCCCCTGCCTGGGGGCCCCCCAAACAGTTCAAGCTAAACAAATGTCTCCCATATCCAGAATGCCTAGTCTAGTCCTATGGAGGCTTCATAGCTATTAGTCCACAGTTCATGGGTTTCCACTATTATATGCACTCATATAATATATAATAGTGACTCAGTGTGGCTGGTCATCTTTGCACGTTTTCCCATCATGGTCTCCACGTCCTGCCCACAGAATCCCTCCTCTCTCTCATTGATTGAATTCCCGGAGCTCAGCCTTGCGCTCTGCTGTGGATCTCTGCATCTGCTTCCATTAGTCACTGGATGAAGGCTCTATGATGACAGTTAGGGTATTCACTAGACCAGGCACCCTCTCAGTAGTCCAAGGTGGGGTCATTTTTGTGGGTTCCTGAGAGCTTCCCTGGCACCCTGCCTCTTCCTATTCCCATGATGTCTTCATTTATCATAGTCTTTCCTTGCTCTCCCACTCTGTCCCTGTTCCAGATCGACCCTCCCATTTCCTTATGTTCTTATCCCCCATTCTTTGCCCTCTATTCTCTCCACCCCACTCCCAGTTTGCTCATGTAGATCTCAGGGCGATCTATGTGTCTCTCTTAGGGCCCCTCCTTGTTAGCTAGCTTCTCAGGAGCTGTGGGTTATAGTCTTGTTATACTTTGCCTTACATCTAGTATCCACTTATGAGTGAGTACATACAATGTTTGTCCTTCTGAGTCTAGGGTTAGTTAGAAAATATCAGGATGATATTTTCTGCTAACTTACAGATTTAGATTTAAATACAGCATGTTTTGAGGGATGCTGATTTTAAAATAATTTAATGATTTTGTTTATTTGGTTTTTGGGATAGAGTTTCAAACAGAGGTTGCTCTCAAATTCTGAATCCTCCTGCTTCAGCTGCCCAAAGACTGGGATTATATGAGTGCATTACCATGCTCAGCAAAAATGGTTTTTAAAAATACAGGTGGTTTAACTGGAAGTTAAAAATTATTAAATAAAAAATTATAAATAATTGATGATCTAAACTCTTGCTACTGAGATACATTATATAATCTGTAGATACTTCATAAGACAAGTAACGATCTCTATGATACTACAATGTCCTTTTGTACTACTATATATTCATGGTACTACAATATGTAATGTAATACAGTAATGTGCAGGTATATGTATAGTATAATATGCATCTTATATATTATGGTTTGACAATATCTCAGTGAAGCAGCAGCAGTTAATGTAGTTAAATTGTGATAAGGATGAAAAATTTAAATTGTAGAGTTTTCACTGTATTTTAATTTTCTTCCCCATGCTTACAATATTTTTGTTAGGGTATGAAAAGTAAATGGCTAGAATAGAGTTCGAGCAAGAAACACTTCCATCAGGAATACAGAAACATAGACATTTATGGCAATACTTAGTTCTTTAACAATTTTATGTTTATATATCCTATAATTTAAGAGGGAATCTGGTCTAAATATACTTTTATAACTTTTTCTTCTCTTTACTTAAAATTTAATAATCTTTATTTTTGATATCCCATTTAGCTTTTTCTCCAATATTTGTATCGGGTCAGTTTTAGAAAATAGACTTTTAGGAAGTTTTTCTTTTTCTTTCTTTCTTTTTCCTTTTTTTGTTCATCTTGTTTGGTTGTTTTTGTTTTTGTTTTTTAATTGTCTGAGTATTGAATTTATATTAATGTGAAGGAAGATAGATTTGTATGCTAATGTATCTTAAGCTATATTATTATTTTTTTCTTGCAGGTTGCTTCTGCTTTTAATTTTTTTTGCAGTTCAGATTTTTATGTTTTTGGTACATCATTCTTTTAAGAATGCTGTGGTTCCCATCAAACTCGTTCCAGATTTGTATTTCCTGAAACCTGGAGATAAACCTCATAAATATAAAACAAACCTGCTGCTTCAAAATTCTACTGGTGAGAGTGTGTGAAGGTCTGTGAATGTGTGTTGGTTGGGGATGGGGGTGAAGGGGTGATGGAATGCAGGGTAAAGCAAGCATGATCTATCATTGTAAAATCTAAATTAAATATTTATCTTAGTGATACTGAATAATATCAGAAATAAAGTTTTGTTTTAAATGTAATTGGCAGTTTTTAAAATATTCTAATTTATACTGCTTATAATTATTAAATTCTTTTTAAAAACAGTATTAAGTTCCTACTAGCACGTTTTACCTCAAAGTTCATGATGAGCTTAATGAACTTGAGGCTGTAAAATTTTCCCTAGCAAGAGCTATAGTATTTATACATACTCATTGAGATATAGTGATTCATCAGGAACTATTTAAAGAATTAGTTATAAGTAAAAAATAAACCTTACTTACATATAAATATCTATACCTGAATATCTTAAGTTTGCCATTTATAATTTTGTATTTACTATTTTTATTCTTACTGTATAATTGGCAAAAAGGTTTTTTTCATGTTTTTATGGATTTGAGCTAATTTTAAATTATGATTCTAAGTTTTCAAAATATTAGGACTTAGTAAAGAATTTATTTATGATAAGCTTTCCTATAACACCTACTTACATAAATAGCCTGTCGTCTGAAGACTTGCAGAAACTATGATACTTTGAAGTCATTACTGTTAAAATGCGGTGCTAAGTATGATAATGTTAATCTTTTCTGAAAATGATGCATTTAGTATGGACAATCCCTCCAATTAGGAGATATTTTAGTTTACTTTTTTCATTTAAAAAACTTGTCTTCAGTTTTAATATGTATTTTATGTAGCTAGAATACAATATTTTGTGAAAGCTCATATTTTTTATGTATATCTAAAAATTATATATGTATCTCAAATCTTTCTGTTCTTGCTCTGTAGCAATTCTACTATTTTCAGTGTTTGTCTCTTCCATTAATTTCTGTATTATTGTTTCTTGCTTTTGGATCTGTACTCACTGGTCCAAAATGAAGCTTATATGCGTATTTGTGTCTCTGTGTGTGTGTATGCATATGTAACATATATGTGTATACAATACACTCAAGCACATGCACACACACACACACACACACGCACACACCCACATATTAGATATTTTCTTACCCTTCTTTGAGAGTATAAGTTACGTGGTTACATCACATGTAGGGTAGCTCTTTTTTTGAATATACAGCCACTCTGGTAGTTAAGAGATCAGTTAAGGTCCTTGGTTAGGAGAAAATTTTGTGTCATGAAGCTGAAAAGCATCATTTTTTATGGCATTCGTGATTGGTACTCAATCTACCTTGTCATTATGTTCATTTAATGAGAGTGTTTGGTTTTGTGAGATTTGGGTTTCTTTGTAATTCACAAATGTTTTGGTTCCTGGCTTTTGTGGTGATAGAGCAGGAGTGCTTCCACTCATCAGACATGATGCTATACATTTAAACACAAACAGGAGTCTTTTGGTTTTGGACCATTTAAAGAATGTAGGTAGAAGACTGATTTTTGTGTTTGGCTACTTTGGTGCAATTAAAATGACCAAATAGATTATTTTCACTCTTTAGTCAAATTTCATGATAACTTTTTCTGTTATTAATATTTCTGTAGGCAGCAGATAAAAGTTATACAATTACCAGGTTCTGTTCAAAGCCTTGCATATGTATTCTGTCATTTAATTGTCACAACCAATGTCCTTATAAAGTAGTTATATTTACTTCTCCTTGACAGAGGAGGAAACTAAGATCTAGAATATCCTTGTAACTTTCTTGAAGGATATATAGTGTAAGTGGTACAACTTGGGTTTGAATCTTGTCCTACTGACTACAGAGCCAATGCTCTTACCAATATCTAGGCTGAAGATACAAGATCTCCTTGAAAGAGCATTATCTCCTAATGTTATGAAAAGTCTATTATGTATCTTACTTAAACTAATTCTTTATTGTTCTTATTTTCTAATACCAGACTCGGATATCAGTGATCTTATTAACTTTTTCACACACCAGAACATAATGGTGACAATGTTTAATGACAGTGACTATGTATCTGCTGCTCCCCATAGTGCAGCTTTAAATGTGGTGCATTCAGAAAAGGTATGAGTATTATACGTGAGTACTCATTTAAAAGTTATAAAATACTGAAATGGTTACTCTAAAATTAATTAGCTGAACTTATCCTATTAGTCATGAATTAGAGTATATTTTTAGATATAATTAAAAACAATTCATTTTGTTTGTGGTAGTTTTATGCCCTGGTAAGTGACCAGTAACATTTTTTATTTTCATATTATAGTTTTGCTTAAAATATCTGCATATTTAAAGCTAGGTTATCTTACCTGTCATTTTCCTATCCCTTGTTGAAACATTTTTTTCACAGTATCTAATAAGATTTAATTAATTAAAATATTTAATTAATCTAATAAGGGTAGTTAATAAGAAAAGTTTGGTCCTTAGTGATATTAGTATGCTTATATAAGTAATGTATCAACTCTTCTCTTTAAATTGTAGGACTATGTTTTTACTGCTGTTTTCAACAGTACTATGGTTTATTCTTTACCAGTAATGATGAACATCATTAGTAACTACTATCTATATCATTTAAATGTGACTGAAGCTATCCAGATCTGGAGTACCCCATTCATTCAAGTAAGCAAACATACACAAAGATGAATTCATATGTGGAAATTTCCGAAAGTTAAAAGTTGAGGTGGGGAATTTAGGAGTCTCCAGGATTAGTTTGCTTCAAAATCCAGAGCAGCTCTATTTGATGCTGATAGGTTTGTGAATCCCTGATATATTAATTGTAGACAAGAAATGAACATGGTTTAGTATTTTTTTGGGGAGGGTCTGGTATCTAGTTACTGAGATATTGAAAGAAAGCTTAGGAAGTCACACAGACAACCATTTTTACTTCAAGTAGATGTCTTAGTTAGGCCTTTTTATTGCTGTGAAGAGACACCATGACCACAGCAACTCTTGACAAAGAAAACATTTAATTGAAGTGGTGGTTTACAGTTTCAGAGGTTCAGTCCATTATCATGATGACTAATTTGCCAGTGTACAGGCTACATCTTGACCAGAAGGCAACAGGAAGTCGATTAACTGTCACACTGAGTGAAGCTTGAGAAAAGAAACTTCGAAGCCTGCCCCCACAGTGACATACTTCCTTCAACAAGACCGTACCTACTCCAACAAGGCCACATCTCCTAATAGTGCCACTCTCTTTGGGGGCCATTTTCTTTCAAACCACCACAGTAACAAAATGTTGAAGGCCAGGGACAACAAGACACTATGTACTGTTTCTACATCATCTGATGAAAAAGTGAACCAGGGCCAGGGTACTTGTTAGACGTGTAGATTGTGTCCTAATACATAGTACCTTTCCTGTTTAATAGAAAGGGTAGAGTCGAGTCCAGGATTTACTCTTAGCATGCTCACCTAGCAGGTGCAAGGCACTGGGTTTGGTCTCTAGCACAGAGATCAGTGTGAACAAGGATAGAGAAATGGGCTTGTTGAGGCTAGAGGATAACACCAAAAGCAACCTAAGTCTCAGGTCATCTGCGTTTGGATGTCAGCTACTTTCTGGACTGCCTGGGAAAGTTAGCTGACTCAGGGTAACAAGGGACGTGGAACTATAGGAGTTAGAGTCACTCTTGTCTGGGAGATGTTCTTGATTCGTTAGGAAGGTAAGCTTGGATATAGCTTTTCCCAAAGGAAAAAAGAAGGGATCAAGATCTTATTTGACACAGTCATGGAAGTGTTCACACAGTCACTGGAAAGTACCAGATATCATTCTTAGGTATTATCATTGCATCTGGCCATTGGTGGATATGCTAATTGTTTACTACACATACTAATTAGTGGCAGAGTTGACTGTGTAGTCTAGCATTTCTTGTTAATAAACCTGTTACTTGTCCATACCCTGGGTAGATATCTTAATGTCTTTCTTTAGAGATTTAATAGTCTAAGGCATTCTAAAGTGATTCTCAGATTCATTTTCTGTTGTTTTTGTCTTTCAGGAAATTACTGACATAGTTTTTAAAGTTGAGCTGTATTTTCAAGCAGCTTTGCTTGGAATCATCGTTACTGCAATGCCACCTTACTTTGCCATGGAAAATGCAGAGAATCATAAGGTAATTAATCAGACAAAAAATTACAGGTATCAGGTTCTGTCAAGCCCGAGGACCTAGTTCAACCCTGGAATCCACATGGTGGAAGGAAAGAACTGATTCTGCCAAACTGCCCTGTGATATCCACATGTGCCACATATACACGGGCACGCATAAGTAAATGTAAAAAAAAATATTTTTTAAGTTAGTTAAAAAAATAAATGGTGCTCGATAGATGCCTTAGCAGTTAAGAGCACTTGCTTTCCTTACAGAGGACCCTGGTTCAGTTCTGAGTATCCACATGGCAGCTCACAACTGCCGGTTACTCTAGTTCTAGGGAATTCTGTACCCTCTTCTGCCCTCTGTGGTCCCCTGCATGCATGTGATACCACAAACTCAAACAGACACACATACACATGATTAAATATTTTAAATAAAATAAAAAAAAAATTATAGGTATCAATTGCTGCTAGTAAGAAGCCTCATGGTAAACTTTAAGAGTATTTAATTTGAGAGTGTCTTAGTTATGTTTCTGTTGTTATGATAAAACACCATGGCCAAAAGCAACTTAGGGAAAAGGTTTTTTTGTTTTTTTGGTTTTGTCAGAGCTGAGGACCGAACCCAGGGCCTTGCACTTGCTAGGCAAGCGGTCTACCACTGAGCTAAATCCCTAACCCGGGGAAAAGGTTTTTTTTGGCTTATACTTCCAGGTAACAGTCCATCACTGAAGGAAGTCAGGGCCAGGAACTGAAGCAAAGCAAAGGAACCTAAAGGCAGGAGCTGAAGCAGAAGTCGTGGAGGAAAGCTATTTACTGGCTTGCTCATGACTTGCTCACCCTGCTTTCTTACACCATTAACCTGATCTCTGTTTTTGTGATTTTTGTATTTCAAATGCATATAAATGGAATTATAGTATGCATTCGACTTTTCTTTTTTATTACTGTAACTTCCTAGTGCTTTCTTGAAATTCATGAAATTTGTCTTAGGAGTCTCTGTAGTCCATTCCTTTTTATTACTGAGAACTACTACACGGTGTGGGTGTATCATAGTTTGTGTAACCATTGCTTGTTAAAAAGCATCTGAACTGCTGTTGGGTTCCACTATTACAAATACAGTTGCTGTGAATGTTTGCATATAGGTGTTTATATGAACACCAGTGTTTGTTTGAATATGTGTCTGTTCACTGCATGCCTGAAGTACCCACAGAAGCCCAAAGAGGGCATCAGATTCTCTGGGACTGGTGTTACAGATGGTTGTGAGCTACATATGGGTGTTGGGAATCAAATCTTGGACCTCTGGAAGAGCTGCAAGTGATCATATCCTCTGAGCTATCTCTCTAGTGCCCCACTTCTTTCTAACTAATTTTTTATTTTTTGTTTCCCATTTCTCACTCTATTGTCTGCTCTCTGATATAATACTCATAGTTATTATGAGTATATAGTTTTAGAAGTAGTACAAATCAAATGAATAGTATTATTAGGTATCAGGATTTGGGAAAGATTTTTATAAAAAATAAATAATGAGTGCATGAGAAGGAAAACTGATTTAAGTATTAATATACATGAAAATAATAGTATGAAAACCAAGCATTATTGTACTGTGCAATTTATTTTAAAAGTATTTAAAATGTTTTCAAATATATTTTCTTTGCACAAAGTTTCACACATAAACTGAAGTTCTGTGAAGATCCAGAGGCTAATAGGCAGTTTATATGTTCTTACTAGAAATAGCTTTTGAACATGAGAATCCTTTTCCATTTAAATGTCTTCATTTATTTCTGCATAGTTTTATATGAACAAGTTTGGCTGTCATTGATGGCATACTCACCATTTCTATGTTACCTTTTGTTTTACTATATTCTGATTGTTAAAAATTTTGTTGAGATTGATAAATCTTAAATGAACCTAATTAAGGTCTAAAATGAATGCATGTAAAGTTACTTTTCTTGTTTTGTTGGTTAGAATGAAAAGTTCTACAATAATTTACTTGCTTTTTATTTGTAAAGTGTTTAAGATTTTAATAGTTTTTCTCTTTTTTTTAGATCAAAGCTTATACTCAACTTAAACTTTCAGGTCTTTTGCCATCAGCCTATTGGGTTGGACAAGCTGTTGTGGACTTTCCCTTTTTTTTTGTTGTTCTGACTTTGATGCTGGGAAGTTTATTTGCATTTCATCATGGACTATATTTTTATCCTGTAAAATTTCTTGCTGTGGTAAGTTAGCATCAGTTGTGCTCATGATATTTATAGTTAAATATTTCTTAAAAATCTATTTATATATACATATATGACAGCTGTCAGGTTGAATAACTTGTGTATTAGCTTTTTAAAAACAAAATGAAGCAAATGTTTGTTATTGTATATGGTACATTTAATTCAATTTTTATTACAAGTGATTTTAAAAAAATGCAAGCCACTATTTAAAAATAATTCCTTATAGCTGTTGTGGTCTTTCAAGTAGACTACCTACTTGCTTGCATCAGGCACCAAAATACAGTCTTCTTTCCCTGTTCTCACATCTAAACATTTTACAAGAAAGGGGTTCATTTTTGAAAAAGACTTGATTTAATTAATGTACATAACGGTGTGGGTATGTATGTACATGTGTGCTTGTGTGTGTGTGTGTGTGTGAGTGTGTGTTTGTGAGTGAGTGAGAGAGAGAGAGAGAGAGAGAGAGAGAGAGAGAGAGAGAGAGAGAGAGAGAGAGAGCCAGTAGCTATAGAGGGTATTCGATTCCCTCAGAGCTCAATTTACCAGAATTTGCATGTCACCTGGCTTGTTACAAGGGTACTAGAATCTGAACTCCAGTTCTCACAGTTGCCTAGTTTTTAACCAGTGAGCCATCTCTTAAGCCCTGCCTGGGAAAGAAATTCCTTCTCCTAAATTTTATGTGAAATTTGAAAGAAATGTGTAACTGGCGTTCATGATCTGTAGAAATGTCTAATTAAGAATTCCTTTTGCTAAATGGTTTATAGTAGAAAAAAACAAAACAAAACAATACAGAGCCATGTGTGAGGGTGCTGGATGCAAATATCAGTTTTGCTAGAGACCATTTTGGCTTGATATATTAACTTCTGCCCTATAAAATACTCTTAGAAATTATATTAAAGTCAAGTGTGGTAGTATTCACCTTTAACCCCAGCACTTGGGAGTCAGAGGCAGAAAAATCTATGTGAGTTCGAGGCCAGTCTAGTTTACTTGGTGAGCTTCAGGCCAGCCAGAACTACATTGTGAGACTCCCATCTCAAAATAAAACAAAACATAAAACCTAACTAAAACAAAAAAAGTCATATTGAATGTGATGTATTTAATTAGTTGCTAAGTGCTGGAGAGCTGGCTCAGCAATTAAAAGAACTTTGTTATTATCGCAAAGGACCTGGTGTTCCCAACACCCACATGGTGGCTCACAACCATCTGTAACTCCAATTCAAAGGGATCTGATGCCATCTTCTGACCTCCATGGACAAAACTCATGTACATGGTACACACACATACAAGCAGGAAAAGCACATGTTAAAATCCATCTAAAAAATTTTTAAAGAATGGTTGCTAATATTTGAGAGATAGACAGTTGTAACTAGCTATAACTAATTTTAATAATAAAATAATGAGAGCTTGTGTGTGTGTGTGTGTGTGTGTGTGTGTGTGTGTGTGTGTGTGTGTGTGTGTGTCTAGCCCTGGCTGTCTCAGAACTCACTATGTATACCAGGCTGGCCACAAAAATCGCAGAGATCCACCTGCCTCTGCCTCCTAAGTGCTGGGATTAAAGGTGAGTACTAACACCACCTGGCATTAGAGAGCATTTTACTTGGTATAAAAAATTACAAGTAATGCTGAGGTTAAATTACTTGGAGTTGTATAAAACAGTAATTTAAAAGCATGATTTTTATTGGCTTAGTAGAGTCATGGTTTATAACTGTTCAAATAAGCGCAATGACAGTTTTTGGAGTGATTTGTTGAAGAATGAAATTTGAGAATAAAAATTACTGAATATTTTAATATGACCATGATATTTTATATTGTATTATAAACTATTTATATTCTTATAGGACATGCATTTCTGGTTTACAGGTTTTTTGCCTTATTGGTTATGTGCCATCAGTTATTCTATTCACTTATGTTGCTTCCTTCACCTTTAAGAAAATTTTAAATACCAAGGAATTTTGGTCATTTATTTATTCTGTGGTAAGTCTCACTTTTATTTTATTCCAGTTTTCCAAATCAGCATATGTAGAAGCTTTCAGGCATGCTTTGGTGATGGTACTGAGTGTGTAATGTATCTTTCCTAAGTAGAGAGTGTATGGAGAGAGCTAGCAGTTTCTTCAGTGGATGTATTGATCTTCCATCTCATCTACTCCAAGGGATGTTGCTCACAGTATATAACAGCTAACAATTGATGCCAACATAGTAATGCTTCCTTGGATGCATGTTTTATTTGAAGATCAAAAACATAGTTGATGCCAAGGCACAATTCGTAGCAAGTTTGTATAAGATTTTAAAATAGTCACTTATTTTCTCGTTTCCTCTTTAGACAGCATTGGCTTGTGTTGCAGTCACTGAAATAACTTTCTTTTTGGGATATGCAGTTTCCACTGTTTTTCATTACACCTTTTGCATAGCCATTCCAATCTACCCACTCCTGGGTTGCCTGATTTCTTTCATAAAGGTACGTCAGTAATGTTTCAGAAATTTTAAAGTCTAAATATACATTCTTTTATCTTTGATAGCTTGGTTCTTGTACTGAAAATAGTAACAAATATAAGATTAACTGCTTGATTATATAGTCAATACAGGAATTTAAAATGACAGATATTTTCAAGTATGACTTCAGGTTGTCAACGGAGAAAAACTGTTTACTACATGGTTTTTGATGCTCAATTTGATATGCATAATTAGATGTATGGTTTTATTTTTATTTTTAGGAATTTCTCAAGGATCAAGTAATGTGTTCTATAAAATGATGAGAAAAAAATTGAGTGTAAGAGATTTTCTCCCCCAGGAAAACATTAAGGAAAAACATCAGATTAATTTTGATCATGGATCATTCAAAGATATTTTCATTTGATTAGAAAAAAATTAAGCAGTTGAGAGGAGTAGGGGTGATTATGATCAAACTACTTTGTATGAAATTCATAAATAATAAAAATGTTATATTAATTAAGCAGTAAATTTATACTTTATGATTGCTGGATAATTCCATTTTCCTACTCTGGTTTAATATGTTTGACTATACTTGCTTCTAGAAATATTGTGTAGCAGGAAGATTTTTAAGTTAGACATAAGATAGTTTATTAATAGGAACACCTTATTTATAGAGACTGCATGTTTATGACTAAAATATATTAAATATTTTAAAGCTAAATATTTGTGTATACGAGTTATAAAAATGTTTTGTTTTAGGGTTCTTGGAAGAATATACCAAAAAGTGAGGATGCCTATAATCCATGGGATAAGCTGTTACTTGCTGTTATAATGGTAAGAAATAACAAAATCTATTTTTGTATGTTCATGTGTCCTCTTAAGAGTATTTGTAGGGGAAGAGAGATGACTCAGTGATTAAGAGCACTGGCTGTTCTTCCAGAGGACCCAGATTCAATTCCCAGCAACACATGGTTCTCTCACAACTGTAACTCCTGTTCCAGGGGATTTGATGCTCTCTTCTGGCTTCCACAGGCGCCAAGCATTCATGTGGTACACATACATTAAAACAAAACAAAACAAGCCGGGCACACCTTTAACCCTGGCACTCGGGAGGCAGAGCAGGCAGATCTCCGTGAGTTCGAAGCCAGCCTGGGCTACAGAGTGAGTTCTTGGAAAGGCTCCAAAGCTACACAGAGAAACTCTGTCTCAAACAAACAAACAGAAAAACCCAACTAATACATATAAAATATAAAATAAAATTAAAAATGGAACTGTGTATGGTCTCAGGACATAACTCGGTTGTTAAGAATGCTTGTCTAGCATATATGGAGCCCTTGGTTTGATCCCTAGCACAGTAACAACCAGGTGTGATGATATACTCCTGTATTTGCAGCACTTTGTAGGCAGAGGCTGGATGATCAGAAGCATGAAGTCATCCTTAGGCTACATAGTGAGTTAGAAAAGAATGACGTGTTTGTGTTTTATTTTTAGTTTTTGTCCTGTTATGTAAAGAATAAGCCTATAAGTTAAGTGTGTTAATGATAGCGAATCTGCATTTTTGTAAAAATACCTTTTGTTGACCAATTATCCTTAGTTCAATATATTGACTTTTCCATGCTACTAATTCTATTTTAATAGAACTGGCTTCTTCAGAGAAAGAACAAAATCTTCTGTTGTTTGTGTGACAGGGTCTTAGATAGCCCAGCCTGGCTTGGATTTTATAGTGTTTCTGTTTAAGCTCCCCTAGTGCTGAGATTTTAAGCCAGTGACACCATTCCCAGCTAAGCTTTTATACTTGATTATATTTTGTAAAACTGACAGTAAATGAACTGATAGGGGCAGAAAACATATGAAGAATTACTTTATGGGAAATAACATTACTTTCTTAGTGTTAAAACTTATGACTGGTGGTGCAGTTAGTGGAATAACATGAGCTCTGTGTGAGGCCCCAAGTTCAATCTCCATCATCAAGAAACTAAACGAGACAAGTTATTTTTAGTTATCTTTATTATAGCAAACAAAAAAAGTTGGATTTCCCCCCTCTTGTTATGGTAAAGCACCTGATCTATGTAGTCTTGGTTCTGTTGGAAAAGCAAAGAAATGATGATTCAGTCATAAGCTGTTACGTATTCTTCTCTTAGCCCTACCTGCATTGTATACTGTGGATTTTCCTCTTACAACACTATGAGAAAAAACATGGAGGCAGATCAATAAGAAAGGATCCTTTTTTCAGGTTAGTTAATTTTTTTAACCTAAGTTTTAAAGTTTTGGTAAATTTACAGAATTGTAAAACCATCACCATAATTTTAAACACCAATGTAATTTTAAAACAATTCCAGCACTGCAAGTAATTATATCTATTAATAGTTACTCTTCTGTATTCCTTCCCATGCCTCTAGCCCTATGCAACCACTAATCTCCTGTATTTATAAAGTTGGCCTGTTCTGAACATTATATATTACTGGATTTATAGATAGCATATAGTCATTTCTTGGTTTTGTTCTTATGCTTTTCTTTTCTTTTCTTTTTGTGGTGAGCCACGGGAATATGAAATAGAAGTCCAGTATATTATAAGCTATACCTTGACCAGACCAAGGGTCAGTCAAGTGGGAAGCCATTTAGCATTTGGTGTTACACAGCTTAATATTCAGTTGTGCCTTGCTATGATTTCCTTGTGCTCATAATTCTCCAAAAATGTGAATGTGTGTGTGAACCCCCCCCCCCCCCCCCCCCCCCCCCCCCCCCCCCCCCCCCGTCTCAGAGTACTTGGATAATGTCAGGTAGACAGAACCTTCTGCCTCTGAGCTTCCGGTTCCTCTTTAGCATTTGTTTTGGGTATTTGCCTTTTGCAATATCCTCCCTAAGCTACTTCCTATTAGGGCCAACCCCAAACAAAGCCTTGAAAGACAGATACCTACCAGACTACCTGCTAGACTCCTTAAGGCACCCCCCCACCCCCCAACTGAGGTCTCCCAGGCCAAGTGCCTGTCCCCTAGATGCATAGCTTTGTTTCCTGTGCAAATCAAGTTCAGGTATTCCCCTCTTTCTCACCTCCCCCAGAGCAACTTTTTAGATCAAAAGGGTTTCCCCTCACCAGGTACTTCAAGCTGTGATGCAGATTGACTAGCTATCAGGAAACTGGCAGCAGAGGAAAATAGTGACAGTTTAACTCTTAGTGACCTCAGATTTTCCCCACCCTGTCACCTGTAAGTTTGTAGTTGAACACATTTATCATAGACTTGTAATGCTTTCACCTAACCACAGTAAGGATCTATTTCTAGCACATAAATTCCTTTTCTGATTTCTTCCAACTCCTAACTCCACTCATGTTCTCTCCCCTTTTGGGTTGCAAATAAAGTTGCCAGGAAGCTTCTGGTGGGGACCTTGCAATCTTGTGTTGTATAGTAAACATGAGGTGTTGCTGCTTGGGAAAAGATCTAGACCGGTCCTGAGAATGAGGGGAGTTGAATTGAGAGAGTTGAATTGGTGGCTGAATGATGGTGACAGATGAATAAACTGAATTGGACTAAAGAGCTCTGTGCTTCTGGATTGATTCCTGCACCGATGGTATTCTGGGCCCCTGGGATAGTATAATATTAAGGCTGGGCCTTTAATATTATACAGAACCTTTTTTCCCCAAATAAACATTAATGTGTAGTGTCCTTCATACATTTACTGCATGTTCATTCTGGTTCTTTCTTTCTTTCTTTTTTTTTTTTTTTTTTTTTTGAGACAGGGTTTCTCTGTAGTTTTAGTGCCTGTCCTGGATCTTGCTCTGTAACCAGGCTGGCCTTGAACTCACTGAGATCCACCTGGCTCTGCCTCCCAAGTGCTGGGATTAAAGGCATGCGCCACCACTGCCCGGCCTTCTGGTTATTTCTATAATGTATGTAAAACATTTTTAAGAAAAGAAATAAATGTTTTGAAAATTTAAATCACTAAAGACCGTGGTTCTATTAAGTACTTTTAAGTGTATTTAAGGTGTATAGTTACCTGCTTTTTACTGTTGAAAAAAGTCAGATTGTTAAGATTTGAATTATTCATTTTTATTATATTTGTGTTTATTTTGTGTGCAGATGCATGTTTGTTTGTTTCTGAGTATGCATAAGCCACACAGTGCATGTGGCTCTCAGAGGACAGCTAGCAAAAGCTGTTCTTGCCTACTGTGTGGGTCCTGGGGATTGAATTTAGGTAATCAGGTTTGGCAGCAGATACCTTTTCCTGCTAAGCCATCTCACTGGCCCAATAGTTAGGATTTGAACAGCAAATTATTGTTTAGCGCATGCAGTTTTACAGTGAGAATGATTTTGGAAGGCTCCTCATTTATCCTGTAGCAGTGATTCATTAACTTTTAAAATTTCATTTTACCAAGTAACATTGTAATGACCTTTTCATATGCTTTGTGTTGTCCACTTTAATGACTTCTGAGAGGAAGGATTATTTCTATTAAAATGTTTATTAACATTTAAAAATTGGTTCTGTTGTATTTATATTATTGAGTTGCAAAAATTCTTTATGTATTTTGTATATGCTTATGTGAGTTCCAAGTATTTTCTCCGAACTTAATTATTTTCACTAGGTTATTTTAAACTGGAAGAGTTAATATTTAGTGAAACATGGGTATTGGTAATAAACTACTTTGCAGTTTCCTTTTATACCTATCAATTTGTGTATTAGCAGAGTATTAGTGTATATAAACACTGGACAGTTAAATGTGTGGTGCCTGCTAGCTTTTCTAGTTCTCATGTTTGTGTGTACTTGCAGAGTATTAATGTATATAAATACTGGACACTTTAGATAATAAATGTGTAATGCTTATGAGCTTTATAGTTCTGACATCAGAATATTAATTAATATACATAAACACTGGGCAGTTTAGATGAGTGTGTGATGTTTATTGGAGTCTGCCTCTGCACTGAGGAGCTTAGGTCTGGCTCTCCTTACTTCCCCTCTTCCTATTTCTGCTGGTATTTGTGGGGAAGGTTCCTGTATCCACAGAGATAGTCTTTCTAATATCTCAGCCCCTTTGTTTTCTGATTCTCCGAACTAGTAAGGGATTCTCTACCCTGTATCACCCACTTAACTTATGTCAGAGCCATGCCATTGGCATTCTTTTAAGTTTTTTAATAATCTTTTTTATTTATTACTTCAAAATTTTTATTAATCAATTAATTACTATTTTCCCAGCCTGATCACAGTTTCCTCTCTCTCCCTACTCTCCTCTGAATCCCCTCCAACTTCTGCCCTCCCCTCCATTCACTCCTTCTCCCTTCCCTTCAGAAAAGTGCAGACCTTCCCTGTATGTCAGTCAGCCCTGGGATATCAAGTTACAGTAAGACTAGGTGCTTCCTCTCCTATTAAGGCTGGATGAGGCAACCTAGTAGGAGGAAAGGGTCCCCCAAACAGGCAGCAGAGTCAGAGATGGCCCCCACTCCCTCTGCCAGGAGTCCCACAAGAAGACCAAGCTATGCAACTAACTGCAATCATGTGCAGAGGGCCTAGTCAGTCCCATACTAGTTTCTGGTTCGTGGTTCAGTCTCCATGAGCTCCCATGAGCCCAGGTCAGTTGACTCTGTGTGTTTTCCCATGACATCTTTAGCCCCTCTGGCTTCCATAATCCTTCCTCCCCCTCTTCCACAGGATTTCCTGAGGTCTGCCTAATGTTTGGCTATAGTCTCTACATCAGTTTCCATTAGTTGCTGGGTGAAGCCTCTCTGATGACAGTTGGGCTAGGCAATGGTCTATGAGTATAGCAGAATATCATTAGGAATCATTTCATTGACCTTTTTGTTTTCTTTTTTACCAGTCATATTTGTTTCTATCCTAAGTCTCTGGGCTGTCCATCCTCTGGGTCCTGCCCCTCCAGGCATTGTCCGGCTCCCTCTCATTATATGGGTTTCAAGCTGGACCAGTCATTGGTTGGCCACTCCCATAATTTCTGCACTACCTTTGTAAGTTTCATGTGTCCCTGACCTTAAGCCTTCCTTGTTGCTTAGCTTCTTTGGGTCTGTGGATTGTAGCATAGTTATCTTTTACTTTGCAGCTAATATCCACCTATAAGTCAGTACTTGCCATGTTTGTCTTTCTGGGTCTGGGTTACCTCACTCAGGATGATCTTTTCTAGATCATACATTTGCCAGCAAATTCCATGATGTCATTGTTTTTAACAGATGAGTAATACTCCATTGTATAAATGTACCACATTTTCTTTCTTTTTTTTACCTGTATTGATTCTTTGTGGATTTCACATCATGCATTCTGATCCCACTTATCTCCCCATCTCCTCTCATCTGCCCTCTGCCCTTGCAAACTACCCCCAATCAAAACCAAGTTTAAAAGAAAAACCAAACAAAACAAAAAAACAAAGAAAAAAAAAAAAAGGAAGACTTGTCATGGAAGCTGTAGTGTGGCCCAGTGAGTCACACAGTTTACCTTTTAGTCTGCTCATCTGTACTTGTAAGAGTTCACTGCCACGAGTCATCGATCCGGCTCTTGGCCTCTGGTGTCTGCTACACTTACAATAATGGGCTCTTACTAGAGCTCCTCTTGGATATCCTGTTGTCCTGTGTTGTAGAGATCCTGCTGTTTTGGATCTGTAGGTTTGTCCTTTTCACATGCTCCAACAGTTCATAGATTCAGTGGATGCTGGAGTGGGCCAACTCATAACCCTGGTTCTGGGCATGGGTGTTAGCTGGGCTGGTCAGCTTGATAGCTTTCCCTCATCATCACTACCCAGGCAAGCTCTCCAGCACTGACTCAGCTAGATCACTCAGTGCATCCTACAGCAGGGAGAGGGGCCAGTTCTGTTCTTGGGCCCTCATATCCAGGTCCCTCTCACTCACATCACCAGGGCCAGCTCTACTGTTTTGCTCATAGAAGGTGCAGGGCCTTTTCTCTTGATTGCTGTAGGTGGAATAAGAGGGGTTGGCAGGGTCGCTCTCCTGTTGTTATGCCCTCAGGGTTGGCTCACCTGTCTGTCCCTTGCCTGCCATGCGGTGGCATGGGTGAGGGAAAGATGCCCTCTGCCCTCCGCCCCTTGCTACTTGTGGCAGATGAGATAGAGCTGGCTCCAGGGTCATGAGAGTAAGAGAACTCTCCCTGCCTGCCACCAGCTGCAGCACATAGGAGAGTGGGTCCTGCACACTGCCTGGGCAGCACACTAGAGCTGACCCTGTTGTCAGGTACCACATTTTCTCTATTCATTCTTCGGTTGATGGACATCCAGGTTGTTTC